ATTCGACGCCTGACTTAAACAACGTACCAACTTTAAATAACAAATTCATATTAATTCTATGAAGTAAATAATCCTTAGGTTATGATTATTCACACATATTTTGCATAGAAAATTCCACTATACGAGTAATCTTAAGTGTGGGAGAGCCATGCTTCGGCACGAATGGGTCGGCTCGACCGGGGTGATACCACGGCCTCACAGAAAACCGGCGTGAAACAACCACAGCGTTGTGTTTCGCCGTGTGAGTGAGGTTACCGGAGGCCCAATCCTTCCCCTGCCCCAATCCCTCCTCAATCCCTTAATCTCCAAATCCCTTATCCCTAAAAAGTCGGCAACGCACTCGTAACTCCTCCATTGCGGGTGTCCATGGGCGGCGCTGATTTCTTACCATCAGGTAATCCGTCTGCTCGTTTGCCGACCTATTACATAAAAAAAAAATATTTTGCAATCTTTTCAAAAGCCCCAATTAGACAAATAGATACACATATTGCAAAACGTCCTCAAAAAAGGTATTTTATGTTTTGTTTGCAATTTAGATTTACTTAAAAGTTGCCAGTGTAATAAAAACTTCTGGTCATGGGAAACTGGCTCATTATTCCATCCTACGTAAAGCCATGTAAGTATTATAAATATTGTTGTCAATAGTTAAGGTCTCAAAGCTTACTTTGTTACATAATTCAAATGACTTTGACGGTTCTGGTAACAAAAGCACTATTTAACTAACTTGAACTTCCCTTAAATTCAGATCTGTTTTTGTAGAAGGCAAATCATCATATGTAAGTGAGGGAGAGCCATGCTTCGGCTCGACCGGAGTGATACCACGGCCTCACAGAAAACCGGCGTGAAACAACCACAGCGTTATGTTTCGCCGTGCGAGCGAGGTTACCGGAGGCCCAATCCTTCCCCTCTAACAATCCCTCCTGAATCCCTAAATCTCCAAATTCGTAATCCCTAAAAGGTCGGCAACGCACTCGTAACTCCTCCGTTGCGGGTGTCCATGGGCGGCGCTAATTGCTTACCATCAGGTAATCCGTCTGCTCGTTTTCCGACCTATTACATAAAAAAATGTCTTTACCTGCCCTGGGTGGGGCGAGAAGGAAGCCTTTATATGCTTTGCGACTTTTTTTGAAGGGGTTAATCATTCTGTTAGTTTTCCTTCTCAAGGCGTGGTGATTGAATGTCAGACTCTTACTAAAACAAAACTACCCCGTTCCTTCTGCTGTCCTGGATAGGGCAGGTCAGGAAAAGAGACTGACCTCTGAGTTTGTTTCGGCATTTCTTCTCAGAGTAGTCAGATAGGAAATGCCGGCTTCATCTAGTTTTTCACATATAAATTGACGTGTAAAAGTGCCGTTTTATGGCCTATTTGCAAAAATAAATTCATTGTTTCATTGTTTCAGACTCTTACTGACTAAATACTACCTTCGTTCCTTCTCCTACATCAAGCCGAGGCCACAGCATATTACATTTGCTTGGCCGGCAACCAGCCCTAATTTATTCAGTAAACCTTACAGTCCATTAGATATTTTTCTCAGCGCTAACTTATAGCAAGGCCACTGTCTTTCACAACTAACGCTGAATAATACAAGAAAGTCCCACTGGTCTCTATTTTATTTACGCAAAGAGCAAGCTGAGATCGTACCTGCACCTAGCTACTTAACCCAGTTTCCTTCACAAATGCTGGAAGACTTGTGTTACGAACTTTGTTTCGTCTCGTCTCGTTAATGAGGCAATGAATGGGTGATAATGCCCTGGTATGTTTAGAAGTTTGTAGTACAATATTTATTTTACACGACATTGGTAATGAGGTTTTTGGTATTTTACAGATGGGTGGATGGATGGACTTCCGAAACGATGAAGATAATGATTTGTCTTTCTTAAACAGTTCTTCGGAGGTTATCCTTGATTTAATAACACATACCGTTACTTACAATCTCTTAAGACTGAGAAAAGTAACCCTAGAAGACTATGCCCCTCTGATTTCGAACCTTTTTGGGCTTGATTCTTAATATCATTAGCTTAGTGTCTATGACAGAGTAGATAGGTAGATAGATTTATTCTTTATTACATATTTACACATGGGCTGAATATTTATAATACCTAGGTGCAGTACATAAAAAAACGGAACCAAATCAGATTTATACAATGGGCGGTAAATTCGCATTTTTCGTTTTTCTTCTGACAACCTTTAGATGGCCAGGAACTACTTGTTCAGTCCCAGATAAAAGTTATTACCTAATTACTATAAGACCAAGTTGAGATATATATTAAGCAGTATTTTATAAAATAAACACCTTATTAATTTAATGAAAGTAACGACGTACTTACTACTTTTAAGACAAGTAACAACGACATTTTACAAAAATATATTCTAGGTTATTTATTCATTTATTACTTATCTATATTGAATATGTGAACTAAATAAAACTAACATTATTTTTTTATCTTCTAAATTTATAAAAATAACAGCCTACCAAACATTACAAATCCCATGTTCAATCATTTCATTAATTAACAAGCAAAATTAGTCCTAACTGAAATTACATAACTGTGTTCATACGTTTTAACTTTCTACTGAGTCATAATGACCATAATACATAATAGGTACGGTGTAGGTAATCTTTCGTCATTGTCTTCGCCATCTTAGATGCTAATTCGGTTTCGCGCCAATTATTGACAATTCCTTTTTTCAAAATTCGTAAAGTTCTTTTATTTCAACTAAGAAATAATAACGTCTGATTTAAGAGACGCTTTTGTTCAACAGTGAGCTTCTTTCAGCTTATTATGATGATGGGTTAAGCTCGCCTTTGTACATTTTTTTTTTTATTGTATTTTTATAAATGTATGTGTGTGCAATAAAGTATAATAATAAGGGGCCATAGTATTTCCATAGTTTTCATCCACTAGTCCATAGCAACCCATACCCACAACCTTATAAATTTTTACCACATTTCGCAATAGTCCTCCATCAACCGGGGATTGTCCTTGGGTGCACTTTCATAGTGCATACAGGGATAACTGCCGGCTGATGTCCCATTTCACTTATATTAAAGTTGTTCAAAGGGCCTCTGCGAGTTGGCTTCGGCCCCTCGTACGCCTTCCAAAAGTCCGGGACCCTGTGGTCCCGTGAGTGGAAAGGAACATACATAATAATAATAATAATGATTTGTAACGTTTAGAATAAATACATTCATCTTTTTTTTAATTATAGATACTACACAAAATCTCTATTATAGATGCTATTTCTGCATTGCTGTCAAAAATGCTTTACTTGAAAGCGCTTTAAGCGAATTTCTAATCTAAGCAATTTTTATACAAAATAATATTATAAAGAGGTAAAATTTTTTCACTGATAGATAGCTACAATGTTCCTGAGTGCTATAGGCTATAAAACATCACGCTACGGCTAAATGGAGCCGAGCAGCGGGTAAAACCGCGCGGGAGTAGCTAGTACAAAATATATCTCAAAAATAATAGAAAATAAATAGCCCTTAAACTTCGTAAGAGTACCTAGTAAGAAGGAAAATCGGTTCAATGTAAAAATGGTTTCCTGAACTTTGACTTGACCTGAAATTTCCAAGTATTTTATCAATAATATGGCTTAGGCTATTTCATCATTAACAACTATGTTGCATTAAAACTTTATTATTATGAAATACCCGATTCATAACTTATTGCTTGATTTACGAGTTCTTAGAATCAAATTCAAGTATGATTGCCAAGTTTTCAATCATTCAATAGTTTCCAACCAATATGGCCGCCCTAGTCTAATTAAATCACCCGTTTTGATATTCAATAGAGAAATTGTAGGTTCTCATGAGAAACTAGGTCGCAAACCCTTGATTATTATCGATTATAGTTTATAGTTAGGTACTGGATATTGGTATTAATATTATAGCATACCTAGTTATCCATTAACAAGTAAAGTTCTAAGTTTAACTAACTCTGTGTAAAAAAAGTATCTAAAGATTGAATACAAGGATAATAGGTAATACCTAATCAACAGATAAAAAAAGTTCCTAATTTGAATTTGCTTGCTACAAAAAGTAGATAGGTTACTTAGTTACCGAATGTTTGTACGTGGGTTTTCTAACTACTTATTATTCGGTTGATAGCATTATTAAACTTCAGCTATTTTCTTCATTTACAATGTACAAAAAAAATCTAGCTTTTATCCAATTACCTGTCTATATTTACTTCCACAACGATCTAAGTACCAGCGGTACAAAAAAAAGTTATCTCCCGCCATTAATCAATGACAGTTCCATTTAGCATAGAGCTACGCAACGTTTTTAATAAGATGGCGGCAAAGTCATCTTTTAAATAGGTACTTATCGTTGCGTGACTTCCGTCAAAAACAATAATCACGAGAGTGATCTCGAAACGCAGCGGCCACCGGTTTCGTTAAAAATTCTTTCACGGGACACTCATCACGAATCGCGAACACCTAACTCATAACTTAGCAAATAAACAAAAACTTAGTTCTAAGAAAGCACACGTTTCTCTCTTGTTTGGGAAGCGAACGGTTACATCGTGTTTTAGGAAATATTAAAAAGTTTCACTCGCTAATCTATCTTTGGCTAGGTAACGTTATTTCCAAACTGGTTTACTAGTTCGATCCTAAATAGGAAGGACGATTTTTTGGGTCACGTCTCGTCTCGCCGTTCACAGTTCACACGATTTCTCCTAATATTTCATGTGTTTTCTTGCTTTCTTTAAGTTGCCCTAGCTAAAATTTCTCCCGTGCTGTGGGTGCGTTAACAAACACAAATGGACAAGTGTACTATGTAGGTAAACGGCCACACCTAAAATAATAACCAACATTTTGTATGTAAAATAATTTCCTTTTGGGGAATGCACTCGTATCATTTATGGCGCAGCTATTGACCGAACCAAAAGCGTTTATTTTTAACCGACTATATGTCTCATGTCATGTTCTCCTATTAATTAAGCCTTCATCTTTAAGTATCAATACTTATTTTGCACGTTAATTGTTGCAGGTACTATAATTCTACCTCCACACGCAGAATGCCAGTACCAAGGACATCACATGGGTAGGTACGCATCAATTCCTCTAACGGCTTTCTTCATTCTGTCTCGTTTGCAATATTTTTACAATACGTCACTTTTATTCCCCCAGTGAGCTACATGCAGACGCCGGGTGATTGGAACCCTCACACACAACAAAGAAATCCACCGTGGCATCAATTCTCCTCTCCAAGGAAAAGATCTCCGGATGCCTACGATAGTCCATACTACAATAATGACCAATATGGACAAATGCAGTTCGCCTCCAGTAATCAATATCCACAAACACAATACAGCCCAATCCAAAACTTCCAGGGCCCTCAGTATTACGACACCAGATCTCCTGCAGGTTTTCCTCAAACAGAACCAAGACATCCCAACGACCCTAGGCTCCTATCAGACTCAGCATTTACCAGAATATCAGAAACTCTTGGTGCCATAAACACTGTTGGTCACTACCTCGTAGACATGGTGAATGACTCACATGAAAGGAACGAGACAGATCCAAACTTACAGCAACTACCTCAGGCTCTTTATACTATAAGTAAAAACGTATTGGGCAGAAATGTGACTGATAAAATAGCTCCTATTGTAAAGAAAGCTTTACCAAAAGTGTTACCAGATGCTCCTATTACTAAAATAGCAACAGCAGACCGCGTAGATGAAGACGCAAAGTCATGTACGACTCCTGAAGGAGAGGATGGTGTTTGTGAAGACCTCAGCAACTGTCCCCAGCTGCTGCTAAACTTGGTGAATCTTAGGGAATCTATATGTTTCAAAGATTTGTTTGTGCCTGGGGTGTGTTGTCCGAAAGATGCGATTGTGCCACAATCAGAGAAACCGATAGTTGCTTCGACGAGTAAGCCAACTTATTTGGTGCCGGTGACGACACAGAAGCCAAAGCCTGCGACGACGAAGAAGCCTTCAGCAGTGTTGGTGTTGACGACGAAAAAGCCGAAGCCAGTGACCAGCACCAAGCGGCCGCCTACCACGACCAAGCGTCCAGCGAGCACCAGCAAGCGGCCTGCGACGACCACGGTCACTACGCCGAGAACTCTTCCAACTACCTCATACTACACTGTCACGCCTCCCGTTATCACTAATTTCTCCAACATTGTTGATATTGAAGGTAAGAAATTATACTTATTAATATGCTTTACTTGCACAGTTATTTAGTAATAATTTGAATTGCATTTCAATTTATAATTTAAGCAAATAGCTGATTATTTAAATGCATTTAGTATTATCTAATGTGCAAGTAGACCAATATTTGCTTCTTAAAATAACTTGTATGTTTGCCTGAGTCTTTAAGGTCGTTAAGGTAAGCTAATTCCAGTTTTCTACTAATTTCTTTTATAAATATTGAAAATTGTAAACTGAAGCTTATTTGACTAACCTTTGCCGATTCTCTTTTGCATGATTAGCTGCCGAATTAATTACAAATTAAATGATTCACTTATTATATTAAAATTAAGTTACCTACGTACTACTTTATATGGTAATTGTTTAACTAATTCTTAGATCTAATAATGCTCTTCATGATACGTAGTAAGCAACCGACAAAGACTAAATTTAAAAGATGGCACCAAACGATCTTCAATTGGGACGTTGTTCGAGATGCAAAAAATACCAAACATATGCGATGTAGTTACTCGGTTGGACATTTCACATTTTTACTTCATAGTAAGGAGCTGAAGATAATTTACAATAAAACCAAATCGTGATTCCAGATTGTGGTCAACGTGAGGACGAGGGCGGTCGTATCGTGGGTGGAACGGAGGCGAAACCTGGAGCATGGCCGTGGATGGCAGCGATCTACCTGCACGGTAGCAAGCGACGGGAGTTCTGGTGCGGAGGCACCCTGGTCGGCAAGAGGCATATCCTCACTGCTGCTCATTGTACCAGGGACTCTAAGCAACGACCGTGAGTACCCTCTCCTATTTGGTATTTATGTTAGTTTCATGACTTTCATCAAGATCGTCACTATCAAAATGGATAAGTTTTGTTTGTAGGTAAGTTAACTGGTAAAGGTTTAAATAAAATGTTGATGCGTATAAAAACTGTACTTCAGAATGAGAATTTTAATATTTTTTGTTCGTTATAAATTGCAGCAGTAGGTATATCCGGCGCTAAAACAAACTTATGAACATTATAATCAATCACAGTACGACGGGCCGTTTCTCCGTAAATGAGGGCTTAGAGTGCACATGTACACCTACCACGAGTTGTGGTACTTATATCTTTCCGAATTACTGTAAACTGACATTAAGAGTCTGTCATGACTAACAGATAGACGCTTCGAAGCTTTGTTTCATAATATTTCAGGAGCTACCGCCGTACTCAGAGTCATTTAATGGTTACTTAAGCCAGACCTTAGCATTTACAGCCCTAAGCTTTCGGAATTCGTTACTTATAGGTATTATAGTAATCATTTCGTTAATCTGAGTAGCTAGTTACCTAAATTAATTGCCATGGTAAATGGCTAACTCACGAAACTGTTCGACACGGATCTCGATTAGTTTCAAGCCACGCAAGGGGCTTATATTCGAAAACAGCATTACGCAATACAATAATTTCAAATATCTCACGAAAGGAGGTTAAAACTGCACAAAAACACCTTAGTTACCTAGGTAAGTTATGTAGGTACTAAGTCCAATCGATTTACGTTGAAGACGTACTCCTCAGGTTCCCAGCTCGTCAGTTCAGCGTGCGGCTGGGAGACGTGGACTTGGCACGTGACGACGAGCCGTCCCGGCCGATCACGTTGCGTGTCACTGCCGTGCGGGCACACGACCAGTTCTCCAGGGTCGGCTTCTACAATGATATTGCTGTACTGGTTCTATCAGGTGAGATTTTACAAAGAAATTTGAGGTTAGAAATTTTTTGAGAAAGTAGGTTCTGTTTTTGGAAAAATATTAGATTATTATCATATATGTAGGAAACTGTTTTAGGGTCAGTTTCATGTCTGAATAGCCGTTATGTATCAAATAAAGGATGTAGAATGTAATTACCTAGTATGAACTGTATGCCCCATAAGTTTATCAGGAACTTATTTAAATGCGGTGAAGGCTTCTGCTAATCTTTCCTTTCCGAGGAAATGGAAAATGCAACCGTTAAAAGGCTATTTAGGGTTAAAAAAATATATAAATAGCCTGTATGTAACATTAACAAGCGATTTTAATAATTAAATAGGCGAGTATGGCTGCGTTCTGTATCAGGTTCAATTCCCGAGTCGAGTAAAATGTTGAGTCTAGAATGTGATAAAACATGCGTTTGACATTTCTATTATTTGCGCCTCTGTGTATTTAAACAACCTGGATATGTTTCAGAAAACGTTCAGAAATCGAAGTACGTGATTCCAATTTGCATACCTCGAGGTGAGCTGACGAGACAAACGTTTGATGGGGCGGTGGCTACAGTGGTGGGTTGGGGGACGACTCGGTACGGTGGTGGGGAGAGCTCCAAGCAATTGGAGGCCAAGTTACCTGTGTGGAGGAACGAGGACTGCAACCGCGCTTACTTCCAGCCCATCACTGACACTTTCTTATGCGCTGGTTACGCGAGAGGCGGCATTGATGCTTGTCAGGTAATTTAAATAATTATTGTTTTTTGAAACATAACCTTTTTCCCTCCTTTTCCATCAGGCATTTTTCCTGTGTATCTGGGTGCATTTACAAACAGAAAATGAAGTGCACATCACACCTGGATCTATATAGAACAATAATTTTCTTTGCTGAATTAGATATCGCGACACGTTGCACAGTAGGCAGTTCCCCAGTCCTACATTTAATTTAGATTTCTCATATTCTAAAAACTTGATCACCAGCACCAGACGGAAAACTGCCCTTCAGCCTCCTCTTTCAGAGAAGGCTTTCGGCAGAGTGAATTAGGAACTTTTTCTTATTCAATATACCTAAGCCAGAAAAATAATTTTACCAGTAATGTTATCAATGAGTTAGCGGGCATCGGTTGCTTACAGTAAATTACTCGTTAGTCCAACTATTGCCCATAACGATTACTTACGTAAATATTGTTGCATTGCTAAAATATTATTGATTTCCATTCTGTCTTTTTAATACTTTTCTTAGACAAATTATAAATATCAATGTTACGTTCCAGGGCGATTCCGGAGGTCCGTTAATGCTGCAAGTGGGAGGTCGTTGGACTCAAATCGGAGTAGTTTCGTTCGGAAACAAGTGTGGAGAGCCCGGGTACCCCGGCGTCTATACTCGGGTGACGCATTATACACACTGGTTGCAACAGAATACAGTGTAGCAAATGTTCTTTCTATTCTCAAATTAATTAAATAAATTAAAACACTGTAAAAATACGTACCTACTTAAGTAAATATTTATAAGATGTTAGTATAAAGGATGAAAAGGAATGAAGTCAAAAATTGTCTTTTCAACTATAAAGAGGTTTACTACTGTTGCTCATATTATTGTACCATAGATAACAAAGTACTTATTAAAATAGTACAATAAATAATTCTCTTACCGTCTCTCATGTTACCATTTTAAATCAATAGAGGTTATAATTAAAATAAGTACAGGATGTATTCATGGAAAAATAAGGTTAGGTAAATAATGCTATTAATAATATTTGAGTCCATATTTAATTTATTTGTAGGTATTTGTCGTCAAGTCTTATGTTAGCTAACGTAAATTAAAAATTTAATTTGTGATAATGTTTTACTGACTGTTAATCTTAAGAAAATAAAAGTTAAAAATAATTATAACTTGTTTCATTTAATTTTTACCTACCCTTTTTTTTAGATAGGTCGGCAAAGGAGCAAGCGGATTATGGTAGGCAATCGCCGCCCATGGACACTCGCAAAACCAAAGGAGTTACAAGTGCGTTGCCGGCCTTTTGGGGATAAGGGTTTCGGATATTTAAAGATTGGGAAGGGATGGGAAGAGGGGCAGGGATTGGGCCTCCGGTATTCTGAAGCATACGGCGAAACACAACGCTGTGGTGGTTGTGGTTTTGTGCGAAGCCGTGATATTTATTAGGCTGGTCACGTCGAGCCGACCCATTCGAACAGAACTTGGAAAATGGAAAAAAGGGTATAAGGGAAGGGATCAAAATATATTTGATATGATAGCTCGACAAATTGGCAAACCGATTACCTGATGGTAAGCAATCAGCGCCGCCCATGGATACCCGCCATGTGAAGCTGTGGTATCACTCCGGTCGATCCGACCCATTAGTGCCGAAGCATGGCTCTCCCGCACTTATCTTATAATATATTTTTAGAGCAATCTCTTCATACATATTCGAATGCAGAAGAAGTTACAGTAAAACCGGTAGGTATGCCAAAATTTGTCTGCCCCTTCCCGATGCCAATAAAAGGTTCAAAAGATGATGGCCCTGCAATACAGTCAGATTTTTTTGTTCTTGTTAGCCACTGGAGGTAGATGCTCTCTACCCTTCTTTCATTCTTCTCTGCATAAAGATTTTTGGTCTTGATCCTTGTCGAAGGAGTAACATTCCCGCCATCTTCTTCTGGGTCTGTCTCGAAGTCTGTTGAAGTGGAGTGGGCTCTACACAGTAGTGAGTTTCGCCCACCACTCGTCTGACATGCGGCGAACACGTCCAGCCCAGTTCCACTTGAGGCTTGCGGCTTCCTGACCAACGTCTACGTATTGAGTTTTGGAGCGCGGTGAAATGCCCCTTATTTTTCTGATAATCGAACAGTTAAGACACCACGCTCCATGGCTCGCTGGCTAATGTTGAGTGTGGACTTCTGTTTTGTCATAAAATCTATTAACGCATCATAGGTAAGCAGCGGCAGATGCTGCTACTAATTCAGGAAGATTCCTGAACAACAATTTAAATAATAATAAACAGTAAAAATAGACAAGCAATAAACAGTTAGCTTGTACAAACAGTAGTAGATATTATCGAATTATTTTTTCAATCGATTTCACAGTCGAGTTAAAATCTGTTTCCGAACGTAAAATGTTAAACGTCATCTTTACACAGTCACAACGAGCGACTTTATTGAATCTTGAACATAAAAGTTTAAGCTATCTTTGTCTATCTTCATATATAAGAAAGAGCGAACCGAAAAGTGACATTGACGTTTTCAATTCGGCAAATTAAATTGACGTTTTCTCGCTGTGACTAATTTTACATTTTATTTGAATAAAATAAATAAACATTTTTAAAACTCGATTATATGGCCTTAATAATATTTAAGATTACATATTGAACTTACCTGATAGTCTTAATGTCGTGATTGTGGTAGTTTTGGTAACAAAATTTCTGCAAAATGAAGTATTCGACGTCGCCTACTCCTAGCCTGAATAACTACCCAAGGAGTACATCTCCGTTACCAGCGCCTGCTAATTACCAGCCTACGACAGCCAGCGCGGCTGTGAAGCGCTACAAATACATCAGAAGACTGTTCAAATTCAATCAGATGGACTTTGAGTTTGCTGCTTGGCAAATGGTGTATCTGTTTGTGTCACCACAGAAAGTGTTTAGGAATTTCAATTATAGAAAACGTAAGTAGAAATATCTATTTGAAACTAGAGCTACCCTAAACTGCTACAGTTATGCTGTACATTAAAAACTTTATCAAAAACTCTGTTGAAAAGATATGAACCAATGATTGTTTCTATTTTCCCATAATATACTCATTAGTAGTTATTTTATCATTTGAAATATAATTTATTAATACAGCTCACTAGCCATAAACATGATTAAGAACTTAATTTGTGTTTTATTTATTAACTTTTACTATAACCAAAGAACTTGTTGTTTTCAGATACAAAGTCTCAGTTTGCAAGAGATGATCCAGCTTTCCTAGTTCTACTTAGTGTATGGTTATTCTGTAAGTATTCTATGACTATATGAAGTTAAAATCTCAAAAGTTTATACCAAGCATTTGATTAATTGATGAGTTTTTTTTATGGAATAGTTTGGGATTCATGGAATTAAACAACTTGATGGTAAACAATCAGCCTTTCCCATGGCTATGGTGGCCTTTTATGAGTTGGTAGGGATTTGGGGATGCCTGGAATATTATTTAGGGATTGGAAATGGGGGAAGGAGTGGACCTCCAGTTAAGGCTACTTAATACATCAAAGCAACTCGGTTTAATATTTGAATTTCAATAATGTCCTTATCTTAATTCATATATACATTTACTTTTCTTCCCTTCATTATTATATCACACTTACTAGCCATTCTGTTGCAATTAACATGTGGTATGTCAGAGTGCAGATATATGCAAGACACAATGTGTTTTCTATTGTGTCTCATATACCGGCAGACAAGAGGTTAAGCTAGTGTCTGTTTATTTCCAACAGATCTGCAGCTGTTAGACCTGTTACTATAGTTATGTGCCACTTCAGTTGCTTGCTTGTATTGTTATCTTATCTTATCTGACATCTTTCAGTTAAGTGTGTAACAATGAACTATTTTGTACATGCCCCAATTTATTTTAATGCCAATATAAATGGTTGAAAGTAATGACATGCAAAAGCAAACTAATGTATTGACAAAAAAATCATACTTCAACTCATTGATTTAACAAACCTTTATTATCTAAAATGATAAGATGTTCAAACATTTTGAGATTTGATACAAAATTCATAGAAAAGTAATTACATATTGTAAAATTTAATATATTTTTTTAAATTAGCTTCCTTTTGGTGGGTTTGGGGTGGTACTACTTTATTTATGTTATTTAGAAAATTGTATTTGTTGCTCTTAAAAATCTAAGCAACAATTCTCAAAGAATTTTATTTGAAACACTATTTTGTTATTTCTTATAAACTAAAAAAAGTTGCCATACACTAGGATTTTCTCCTGTGTTGTGGGTGTGTTCACAAACATACAATTTCACATAAAAAACTACACTCAACCCAGGACAAAATATGTGGAACACACAAAGGGTTGTTCCATGCGGATATCTAGTTTAGATTCAGAAGTTCAGATTTCCTATCAAATCAGATTGTTATTTATAAGAAAAGCCAATTCATATGGTTTTTATATAAAACTGATTTATGTTTCAGTATCATCAATATGCCTGGGCCTAGCAATGGGCCTGACAACCGGGAAGGTGGCGTTGTTTGTACTCTTTGTAGTATTTGTAGACTTCATAGGAGCCGGGATACTTGTGTCTACATTCTTTTGGTTAGTATGACAAATTCAATTATATCACTTTTTTGAACAGACCCCAGCAGATCTTTTATTGGATTTTCGACATTATATCAAATACATTAAATTGAAAATATGAGAAAAGAGTCTGGCGTCTGTACACAAAGCATATAAAAAGTGCATAGAAAGAAAAAGGATTAAGTACCCACTCAGTGCCATCAGCCAATATTATTCTTATTAGTTACATAAGTATTAGAAAAGTGAAGCCTTGTGACCTTACGACAAGAAATCTTACACAAAGCTTAGTTTCCTCACTAACTGGATTAGGCTTATAATTTGACCAGTATATAACAGAATTTTGAACTTGTTATTTAACATTGAATTTTTTATTAAATTCTTACCACATAACCAGATTATTTGTCAGTGCTACTGCATATAACAAGAAAACTCGGGCTAGTTCTCTTCCATAATAAATATAGTTAAAACAAAATAATTCCAGGTATGTAAGCAACACGTACCTGCGCCGCGACCCCGACGGGCCGGACGTGGAGTGGGGCTACGCGTTCGACGTGCACATCAACGCGTTCTTTCCGCCACTCTCGCTGCTACACTTCTTCCAAATAGTCTTCTTTGAGAGTAATATATTTTCTGAGTATCTATTTAGATCTTCTTACTTGTCCATGAGGTTTCTTTTGTTATTACACCCGCAACAACGATTTAGTAAGGGAGGGAAAGGATTTAAAAATATATTTTAAACCCCTACACTATTGTTTGGTTTTGTCCTGTGCATTTGCAAACATATACTTTTTATGTGATAAGACGGCAAAAGAGCAGTCGGATTGCCTGATGGTAAGCAATCATGGACACTTGCAACAACAGAGGAGCTGCTACAAGCCGACCTTTTTGGGGTAGGAATTTGGAGATTTAGGTATTGGGGGAGGGCAAGGATTGGGCCTCCAGTAGCCTCACTCACACGGCGAAACACAATACTGTGGTAGAATCACGCCGGTTTTCTGTGAGGCTGGTGTTTCACTAAGGTCGAGCAGATCCATTCGTGCGAAAGCATAGCTCTCCCACACTTAAGAACAACGTTAAGAGTTGAAGAGCTGTCTACGCCGGAACGCATCATTCTTCGTCGTGTATGGAACGCATCCGTAGCGCGAGCGAGAGGTTCGAGCTGCGCGCCTTCCGGCCACTGCCATTCTAATAGTCGCGACGAAAACACACTCAATTATTGTAAAACTTATATTATAATTAGTGATTAAAGAAGTACATCTGCAAAGGGATTTACTTATTTATATCGACCAAGAGCACTACATCAACTGATAGTTTCCATAAATGTATTGAAGAACTGGCCTTCACATCTTGCGGTCTTCAACATTTCGGGAGCTTTGGAACATTTGAGTAAAGTCAAAATCCTTCTGCCTTTTTAGATATTCTGTTCCGTGATGGTTTCCTGTCGTGTCTGGTGTCCAACACCTTCTGGCTTGCCTCCATCATCTACTACTTATACATCACATTTTTAGGATACAGTAGTAAGTACAACTATATACTTTTTATATTTTGCACAAAAAATATGGTGACCCATATTTTAGTCTTCTGCACTGCACTTTAATTAAAATACAAAATAACTTTCAGATTATGGAAAAGTAGTCGATTCGGGTAAGTTTATAATATCATTGGGTTGTGTGGTTTTGGGACTGGCAATAAAATCTAACTATTACGGAATCGAAATGTCGAAATGTTAGCGATCTACCGAGGGTGGCGGTATGCTCTGCCTGGGCTGAGCACTGCCGTATCCTCAGGGAAGTGATCGGCGGCGGCGACCTCTCGCGCCCGGCCTTAGTCGAGGCCATGGTGCGGAGTGAGAGGAACTGGGACGCCGTCTCCTCCTTCTGTGAAGCAGTTATGCTCGCAAAGAGGGAGGCGGCCCGCGTGAGGGAGCAATCCTCCTCCTCACGCCCCAGCCGCCGCAACAGGCGACACTACGGGCGTCGGGGATCAAAGGACGATCTCCGGCCACTGTAAGTGCGGGTCTGCGGTCGGCGAGTAAGGGTAGCTCGCCGCCCGACCAGAACCAGGCCCGAGCGTACGGCGCGTAGCGTTCCGCGCGCGCCTCAAAGAGCCAATAGACCACCACAGACGGGGCCCTATAGGGCTGATGTTCAGCCGGGGTTGCGGGTTAAGCGCAATGAGGCACCGCGACCTCTGCCCAGAGCAGGAGAAGGAACAGGGGGGTTTTTAGTCAGGAAGAGTCTGACACTCCCCCCCGGCCCTGGGCGGAAGAAGTCATTTCATGATTTTACCTTCACAAAAAAAAGCGATCTATCAAAAATGTCGTGGTGGCCCGGAGGTTTATGCGCCCGTTTCTCACTCACTTCATTTTGCATTATTCTTTATTGTCATGTGACTGACTCTATTAGCAATAAAGAATAACTTTGGGATTTTTTAATTTAATAAATATATCAGAGTCCCGTAACAAGACATTTTATGTTACTTTACAATAAAAGCCCCAGGATTTTTGCACGCTAGATGTCGCTAACGTAGCTTAAGGTCTGATATACCAATCCCTGCAGCTGTCACAAGTGAAATTTCTAATGATTTGACGCTGTTTAATTCTCTATTGGACATATAAATTCTCTAGCTTAACAAAGCTTACAAAATATTGACCCCCTTGACATAAATTGGAAAAACTTCAGAAAAAAAATGGCGAACATAGTATCACATTATGTCAGATAGCAACACATAAATACGTTTGTTCAACAGATCTCCCGATGCTGCAAAACGCTCGCGTGTTCCTGTTGCCTCTACCGATCCTGTTCCTCACGTACCTGGCAACACTCGCGATGGGCTGGAACCTCAGCGAGATGCTCGTATATTTCTACATGATGAGGGTGCTGCACTGATCAACATATATTGCACTTGTAAATTATACACTAAAGTCTTGATAATAATGAATAGGTTACATTTTTCAACAGACTATAGTAAAAACGCACTGGATACTGTAAATTGCTTTTTGGAAGTAATCGTCTTCGACCCACCTTGTATTTTGGCTACTCTTATGTTGAAGAGGCTCATAATCCAACAAAATGCGCGAGTATGCTATACTTTATTGTGATCAACACGTTAATGACGTACGGCGCACCTTACCTCTGATTGGCCTAACCTAACCTAACCAACCAATCGGAGGGCTCAACGCATTGTCGTTCTTTTTCGTTTCTGTCGCATCCTACGGGAAAATAGTCTTAATTTTGTACCAACGCATTGGCCGTAGATATATTCTAATATTTGCCAAAATATCGATATAAATGTAATGTTAGTAACGGAATCAAGTTATCGATAATGCAACTATTGAAAAACGACCAGTGTTATCATAATGTGGCTTTAATTTAATCTCTGGAGTTGTTGTATGCTAAAAGCGATCCACCTAAAATTAGTACAGAGCCATGAATTATATTTTACAAGTGAAGCAGAGTTTTAACATAAACAATAATTAATCTTAAGTCGAGGATAGAGTGAGTCAAGAAGGAAAGAAAATGCAAGACATGATAATAATTAATTAACGACTGGTTAATTAATAAATTATAGCATCTATATTGATTTCTGCAGGTTACAAGGATGCTCCAAATAATCACTGATATTACTTAATATTGCGTGAGCAATGTAACATAATGTAACAATAGTTAAAAACATATTTTCGTATTATAACAACACTGTAAATAGTAAAAAAAAATATTTTTTAAGAAATAAATTAAAATACGTTTAAACTGATTGTATTTCATTTATTAATTAAAATGATTATAGTCTGATAATGTTCAAGTCTATTTTTTACCTTACCTACATATAATTAATAAATATAGTTTAATCATCATCAAGTACAATCACTTCGTCCGACTCGATAGGTTTGGGTCTCTCACTGAAGGGCAGCTGTTTCTTAGCTTCCGGCTTCTTAAGCGCGGGTTTAGGTACTGACGTCTTGGTTATCGTGAGAGAGGAGGGCAACTTACTAATAGATGCATTGATCTCATGGTTCTTGGATATGGGAAGATGCTTTTGTCGCTCCGCCAGTTTCTCTTGCAGCGTTTTTCCAGGACTGACTTGCTGATGCGGCATCGGAGGCTTCGTATGTATAGCCGCGTTCACAGTGGACGCAGTAGACATGTGCGCCTGTGCCGGCATAGAGTGGGTCGAGTGTGATGAGGAGTGCGTGGGAAATGAAGTCAAGTTGGCCGACATCGAGGCTGGCAAGTTCTGAAGCACTGATCCCATACTAGGAGTCATGGGCGAAGAGTTGGATTTCTGCAGAGAACTTATTACGGGCGTCGGAACTCCTTTACTGGTAGATGCAGTAGGGGCAGTGAACGACTTTGACGTTTTCATCTGAGGATTAGAAGCTCGCACCGAACCCGGCTTAGGACCACGTTTTTGTTTCTTTACAGGAGGCATAAAAGACGGGAAGCTCTGTCCTAAGAACTGACGGTAGAACTCAGCCTGAAAGGAATTTTGCAGAGTATTCTGTAACGTGTTCTGCAATGACGGGTAGGCGCTAAAAACACTCATGTTCGATAAGTAAGACAAAGATAAAGCAGCCGCCGTTTGCTGGGACAACACCGGGTCGTTCAACATCGGTAAGTAGCTCTGGAAAGCGGCGGCCATTTCTTGCGGCGACATTTTTGGTAAACTCGAGCTTGCCGTGGATGTTGAAGGAGGTGGCGCTTTTTGTTCCGGCTTTGGTAGGCTTTCAGTTCTTGACACACTTGGAGCCGGAGCTTTAGAAATCTCGGAAACAGCAGCCTTAGCAGCTTGTTTCTTCTGAGCATTCTGACTTTTGTCTACACTAGCCATCATAGCGTCACTCTTAATTTTGTGTAGCATCTTATGGCAGTATTTCAAACTTAAATCAACTACATTAATATTCTCAGGGATGGGATCATTTCTAAGTAACTTGTAACCCTCAACTATTAAATTCGTGAATTGTTTAGCATTCGGTTGTTTCTGAACTTTTAGGTACGCTCGGTAAATATCCAACATAAAACTGTTGAGTGCTTGCCGCTCCACCTCGTTGATCTTCAAGTCAGCTTGTTGGCTGAATTTTAGCAGTTGACCTTTCAAAGATTGTACGCACAGTGAGAAGGCTTGCTGGGATAGTTCCTCTCTATCAGAGTCACGCACATACTTCTTGTCTAGTTCAGGTATCTTCTGTAAAACTATACTGAGTTCCAAAAGCGTTTTATGATCGTCTATCTCTTTCAATATCTCCATTGTGAGGAGTACAGATCGATTCATATGAAATGTGAAGCTGCCTGGCCTGTCAACCTCTGCTGTCGGTATTCTCCATATGTTGTTGAAAAAGTTAGAGGGTTTTCTCTCACCAAATAAACCAACCATTTTATGGCCAGATCTTGATGTGAAATTGGACAACATGAGATCTCGACATCTTTCGATGTCTTTACCTTTTTTATAATAAAAGTGATAATGGGCGAGTCTGTAAATGGCTTTATAATGTGGTGGAAACCGGCTGGCGCAGTCTTCCAGAGCGTCTAGACAGGCTGACACTATCTTCATGATCTCATCGTCGGTTATTGGTTTGGCGTCGTTCGATGACTTGGAAGCGTCACTGTCGCTAGTGGAGTCGCTGCTGCTGTCGGATGATGTTTCACTCGAACTGGAATCTGACGATGACGATGAAGAAGATGTACTACTTGAACTATCCTCTTTTTTCTCACCATCCGTTTCATCTTTCTTCTCTTCTATAGGCTTTTCCATTTCAGGTGTTACTTCTTTAATTGGTTCTGTTGTTGCTGGCGGAGGCGGAGGCAGAGAAGTCTGCGGCAAATTTTCGCTAGTAACTTCCTGTTTATTTTCCTCTGTGGTCTCAATTGTTTTAGCTTCAGTTACCTCTAAACTCGGTTTAATCGATTCTTTAGATTTTCTTTCTGTATCGTACGAAGCTGACCGCCTAACTTTAGCTGCCGCTGCTTCCATCTTCAGTCTTTTAGCCTCATGAGATTCTTCTTCACCAGCGTCGCTAATAGACCGTTTGAGAATATTAGCTGCGTGAACCGGTTCCGCGGGTTTGGGTTCAGTATTCGTTTCTATTTCTACAGCTCCGTCCTTTTTAGGTTTTCTTGTAAAAGGACCTTTCTTCCACTCTTCGATACACGTGGAGAACACTTTACCAACTGATGCAGGGATTGGTTTGCTCTCGTGTTGTTCTATATATTTCAATATAGACGAATGGATCCGATAGTGTAACTCTAAAACTTCTACACATAAGTGTGTTGGCGTATTGTAGTTAATCTTCGAGGGATACGTCGCATTACTTTCTTTCAAACTTTTTACGGCTTTCATGTAATAATCCAAATATAGCGACGGTGGCTTATTACGTTTCTCGCTTACTTTTCCTAACATATAGAAGTGGAGCCACGACTCATCATTGACTTTGTCAGATTCCGAACTATTGTTAAGTTCATTCTGTACCGTGACGAAACTTTTGTTTGTTATGTCTAACATGTCTTCCTTCAGTTTTTCCAAAGACTCAAAGTCTTCCATACTTAAAGATTCGCTCGCTTGTTTCAGGACACGAGAACAAAACGAGTGCACGTAATATGCGAACATGCCATATTCTGTCCACATATTGCAGTAGGTTGGGTCTAGCTCCATACATCTCTTGTAACATCGTATCACTGATTTTGCAGGAGTTAAAAATTCTCTTTCATGATTGAGATTTTTGCAGGAATTCAACATTCTTTCTAAATTTACACTTTTAGCTAGTGATATACGTGCCCACGATTCTACTCTGTCGTTATTCAGGGCAACGTCTAACATATTAAATTTTATACCTAACTTGCTTTCTTCTCTTTTATAATAATAATCTCCCAACAAAAAGTAAATATCCTTCATTTTATATGGCAGTAGAGACGGAGCCTGCGGCATTTTATCGTCCAACCCCTTAATATATCTGTCAATGTCTGGAAGGTATTTCTGAGGATCACATTCGGGAGGAAGCAGCGCAAGTATTTTGTGGAACAACTGCTCAGTGTCAGCGGTGATGCCGGGCAACTTGCCCTCCAGTGCCGGCAATGTTGGAGGCCTGAATATTTCATACACCTGCTGCGCTCTTTTCCAATCTAAAGTGTATGGCGGTACATTATGATCTACGAGATGTTTCAATTTATTTTTCCTGCCAGGGTGGCCAAACAAACAAAATACACACTGCTCCATATACTGTACCACTTGTTCAAGTGATTTTGCTAGTGAAGGTGACCGCAACCTTGGAACCACCGTGTCTAACGTAAAATACAGCAGTTTGCCTTCAGACTTACAGCACCATCCTCTCTTTCCCAGCTGTTCGTGTGCAATAAATAATACCATTAATGGGTTAGGAACATCTTCATCACTTGCAGCTTTGTCATTATCTATTCTAACTCTTCCCTGATCATCCTCTCTCTGTAATATGTAGTGTACTATGATCCATGGGATTACGGTGCCGAAAGGCATTTCAGAAGTGTTTGTCTCCACCTGATGTCCAATTACTCTGATGAGATCTTCCAGACCTTGACTCAACTCTTTTTGAGACACCGTGTCTAGACATGTTAATCCTTCTGTAGTCAGTATATGGTCCATACAACACAGTATCTTAACAACTGTGAGGGTCCACTTATCATATTCTTGGGATCCTGTCGTAAATCTAAAGTAATGATTTAGAGCTTCGTGAAGACAGATGAGAGACCACTTAAAACATTCTTCTGGCCTGTCTAAAGCCCAATATGTGTCTAGTATTACAGCCAAATGTACTGCAAAGTCTAAAGCCACCTGTTCTTCAACTTTAGCCATTGCTTTGCAATGCTCAAAACTGTCAATCACTATAGATAATACTTCTTCATAGTTTCCTTTGTCATACAATTCCATAACAGTTGAAAGCTTCTCATTTCTCTCAAGGTCCTTTATAGCAGCTGAGACTTCACTCTCATTAATTTTTGGTTTATGTGTGAAGTTAACTACTTCTAGATTGTATTTATCGTGGTGTTCGCCCATGGCTTCAAATTCATACACAAGTTGGTACAGGCAGTCCAGAGCAAACTCGTTGCATTTATTCAAAAGATGAATGTGTAGTTTCACCCAAAGATAGCGGAGTGTAAAATCTAAACAGTCAGCATTTTTGAAAATTTCTGGCCTCAAACTCAATATTATGCCTACAGTTTCAATCACATTCAATTCATGTTTCGCTTCCTCTTCTGGAGATTTGTTTAACTTTTCATTCACTAAGAACTCTTCTGCTAAGATGTTAACTGTTGTATAATGCAGTAGTTCTTCATCATTGTCACTGGTATATGCAGGAACATCAATGTGATTAAGATAGCATTTGTGAGCTTCAATAAATACTTCTGAGAGTCCCTTGGGCCATTTCTCTCGCCACTTACAAGCTAAAATATTCAGAAAATCATTTAAAATATCAATTATATCTTTTTTCTGCTCTGTGTACTGATTAATAAAGTTCTTGACGTCTTTCTGTTCATCATCTGATCCAAAATATGTGATCAGGACCTCATCTTCAGGTTTATCTTTTGCATCAAATAATTTATCAAGATCCGATACATCTGGGGATGTTTCACGAGCTTGGTTTTCTTTTTTCTCTACTAACTCTGGCACTAAAGAAATTGGCACCATTCTTCTAAGAGTTTCATAAATATTATCATCCTGTTCTTGTTTATTAACAGGTTTTTTCCGTCCAGATCTTCGTTTAGTACACCATTCCCACATTTCTAGGAAACTTAGTGCACTACCTCTTCTTCTCACTGGGGCTTTCTTTTGTTGTTTATTTTCAGAGGGGTTTTCAGGATTTTCTGCTGCCATTTCAACATCACTCTCCACTTTCTCTGTGTCAGTGGCTGTTTTATCTTTGTCTGATAAATCATTGTTTTCATTCTCTGACACATTTTCAACATTTTTTTCTGGTTCTGTTGCAGGTTCTTCAACTTTAGTTTCTTCTGGTTTCTGTTCTACTTCCTTTGGTTCTTCACACACCTCCATAGCCTCTTGCTTATCTTCCTTCTCAAAAACCATTTCTATTTTGCATGCATGACTGTAACAATTCTCAGCCATGTAGTGATGCATATGAACTAAGGATTCTCCAACTGATTTCCAACTTAAGTTGCTAACAGGTTTGACTAATTTTAATTCAGGTAGAACATATTTGAACTGCTCAGCTTTCTGTTGCTCAATAAATGTGTCATGGATAGTTTCAGCTTCATTTATTAGTTTCTTGGCCTTTTCTTCATCAAATGGTTCATCATCTTTTTCATCCCATTTGTAAATGGGGTTTAGATATTCCATGTAATCCTTTATGTAAGGATATACAGTGTAAATATGTTTCCTATATGCCAGACCACGCAAGTAACCAGGGTCTAACTGTAAGGCATCATGTATGGTTGAAATACATTCCTCTTTGTAATCTAGACCAAGTAGGAGTGTGACGATCTTATCGAGACAGGGCCAGTGACGAGGATTGCGTTCTGCACCGCGTTGAAAAGCATGGAGCGCCATTTCATAACGTTTAGTACGTATACAAAGCTGCCCGAGCCGATGCCATAGAGTGACATCAGTGTCGTCTAACTCAGCCGCAGCACAATACGCCTCGATAGCCGCATCTATTTCGTCTGATGCTGTCAGCATAGCTGCCAGGTTTTTATACGACAAATATTTTAAATTAAACAAGGGACCAGGTACTTTCTCACCTTGCGCGGGTTTTTGAACTTCATATAATAATTCTGTATCCAGTAGATCCCTAAGTAACTGAGTGGCATCTTTAAGGTTGCCCTTTCTTTGAAGTTCGAGTGCGTTTGCATACTGCTGCAACGCTATCTGTTCAGACGCTTCTCTAGTAACTTCTTCCTCTGATCCACTTTCCTCTTCCGATTCTTCGTTTAAAGCTGATATTTTAATCATTTTTAATCCCCTGCTTTTTAGATTTTTGATAAATAAACATTACAGAAACAGAAACACCCGGCTTGCTTTTTCTTTGATACAACTTTGACTTGACAGATATTTTTGACATTGAAATAAACTGACACTCGCAGTCTAGTTCGGAAACTATGAAATATGTAAAATACTCTTTTTCAAGATTGAATTATTTCATAAACAGTACCCACCTTATTAAATAAATCCAAAATATTCATTTTAATGTAATATTGCTCAAATTAAGTTTTTATATTGAATTAATTTTAAAAATAAAATATCGTAATGTTGCTTGGAACATTAAAAAAACATTTTGACATCTTTAAAAAGTCAAAATACATGAATTTTGAGGTTAGGTAATTGTGTTGGTATTTCCAAAAAAAATTGTGTAGAACCTATTAGTAAAAGAAAGTGAATCGAAAATAATGTTATTCCAGAACTCTTTGCTGAAACGTACCTGGCCAATGTTGGTACAATGCGCGGAGGCACATAGAAAACCTCGATGGCTACCAGTCGCTAAAAGTAAGATATTTCGTGTACCCAAACGTCCAGTTGTATCAGAAGAAGAACGCATAGAGCTTTTACGGCTGCATAATAATTACAAAACGCAGATGCGGGCCATCAGGAGGTTCTATCACGAGGAGATGATCAAAGAAAAACAAACTCGAGAGAGTGCAAGTTCTGAAATGTCTCAGCGCTTGGAAGCTGAAGAATGGGCTCGGTGCGTGGAGCTGAATGAGAAATGGAATGCTCAGGTCGCAATAGAACGAGAGGAGCGAAGAAAAGTTGAGGTGAACAAACTTGAGACATATGCTCTCAAGAGAATGCAATCCATTGATGAAAAACGGGCGAAGGTAATTGCAAAAGCCTCAGAAGAAATCAAGCGACAGAAGGTAATGAATCATTTTGTAATTTCAAAGGCTTTTCACTTTTCAATTGCATTATCAATCAAATTCTGTTGATTCAAATTGACTTTTATTTATTATAGTGTAGTGTTAAAGATCAATCAAAGACTTTTAACACTACTTGATACGGAGTACCAATGTAAATTCTAATTCAAAGTAAGATTGTATTATATATTATTAAACTGAGTCTAAAATTAACACCTAAATATTTATTTCAGGAATTGAGTTCAACATTCATAACTCCGGAAAATCTGGATGCCGCCATAGACCATGCTCTAGCAAATCCCACAGACTATAACTTTGCCATAGACCTCAAAGGAAACAAGTTTTTAGGCAGAGACACACAGATAACTAAACCAAAGGAAGCTGCATCTTCTGCCAGTGCTACTGCTTAGAAGATAAAGGGTAGTTTGTATTGTAAATAACTTAGGTACAATAAAATTATATTATTTAAGAATTTGTGATTAATTTTGTACACACCCACACCTCATCCAGATATTGATTTTATTTACTGTTAACTTTAAATCCAAACATTTTATAATTATAAATAGATTATGTTTATATCAAGAAAAAACAGTTTTAAATATAAATATTTAATTAACTATACACTATACAGACATATCATGGAACATGGTCTCCCAGTTGGGGACAAGGTTGAGCTTGTGCTGCAAGGACCCTAGAGCCACCAGGTTTGCAGAACGAGATGCCTCATCTGCATCTACTGACACCACTTCTTGGTGAAATGCTGCTTTTGTACCTAAGCATACCTGTAAATATAAAATGGAGTTAGTTAATGTCACAGCATTCTTGGCGAGTTGTATAAGTTCAAGTATCAGAGTATTATAGGTTTATATTTTCTGTAGTAAGGAGGTATGTGTCTATGGGCATGCCTTCTAATGCATGGAAATCGTGGCCAATGGTAGCTGGGCAACTGCCTGCCGCTCAACGTGTCGAGTTTTCTATTCCTGCATGGAACCACTCTTTGTGTGATCCACAGATTGTTGTTGGGGATCTGGGTGTGATGTATATGTGAAATTGTATGTGTGTAAACGCAGTCACGAGGTCACGACACCTAAAAGGGGCCTAGTTCAAAGCGTAAAAGTTTTTATGTTGGCCTAAGTGCATCTGTGTAGTGCCCACTCCACTATTGCTAAAGTATAAAGACAACAAATAATAGTATGTTAAATCAAAAAATAACTTACAGTAGTGGCCTAACTAGTCAGATCAGAGTTATTGTTATTTACCTCGAACATGGTGTCTCCCAGCGAGAGGCTGACTCGACCAGAGCGATGCACTTGAAGTTTGCCAATACGACCCTCTTCTAGGTCTGCCAGTCGACATCTGTTGTCTACCTGTTGTATACACAGATCCAATTAAGTAGGTGATAACATATGTAGACTCACCTTGTATGGAGTTTTCTTGCTCGTTCTTTTCTATCCGAATCTACACTTTGGACCGAGCAAATAGCTTCACTAGACTAACTAGTAGAGGACTGACCGACAGACTGACACTTTATATCTTTAAAATTTTGTTTGACGTTCAAAAATGCCTGTAAGGGTCTAAGTAATTGACATACCTAAATAATTTTTTACTTTTGAGTTTGACTATACAAAGACATAAGTCAGTAAAGCTAAGCAAGACAATACTTTTCTATTGATCATCTTCACCAATAGCCTATTTCTGTCCACTACTGGGCAAAGGCCTCTCAAAACACTGAGCTCGATGTTCAACTCTGCTCATCCAACCACTGCCAGCCACTATGGATATCGCCACCTAGCTGGGTGACGACCTAAACTACGTTTGTCTAGACCAATGATCGCGCTGATTGGCCTGCTCCAAGTTAGGCCGCGTTTTCAATAGGAGACTTACCGGCCAACGTATTTGCAATATTTATTTATTTATTTATTTTATTTATAATGGCTTAAAAGGTACATTTTACATTATAAAAAGTATAAAATGTCCAACAAAACTGTACACACAGTTTGTCTGGTGGATCAGATTTCAAATAAAATAATAATAAATTACAATAATAATAAAATTGATAAAATTTAAATATTATTTTATTTTATAGTAATATTTAAAAATGTAATTTTAGAGTAATTTTAATAAATATATGGGAATAAATTGATAATAAATGCGATGGACGCAAATTTATATATTAGTATTATATATTGTTGGACATTATGTATATTACCTAATTTGATCACATTGGCCAGTGTTCAGTATATACCCCGAGGAAACTTGTTCAAAGCATCAGAGCATAAGCGACACGCGTTCTTACTATTAAGCCTGTGCAGCCACTTTCGAGGGACACAGCACATAGCACGAGTCAACGTACGCGGGGCATCGACCACACAGCATTTAATGTGAACTTCTAGTCAAACAACAAAGGTGATGTTGGTGATGGTAATGAAAATGCGGTTTAGACAACCAATCAGAGGGCTAGAAAATAACACACATAAAGCAGTCTGGTATTGCTAGTGTCCATCTGTCCATACACTTATCACTAATCATTAGACGATCCGCCATTCTAATAAAAATAAGTAGGTAAACTATGATTGGAAGGTCAAAGGTCAGCTCTTTAAGCATCGAACCAAAACTCAAAAACGCAAATAAGGCCTCTAGACCTTAATTGCGGACTGATTAAGAAAGGGCCTGCTGATATATGGCATTTTAAACTATTGAAGACACCGCGTGGACCTCCGCAACACCAGGATTAAGATGGTATGTATCAAGGGCGTTCTACCTACTTCAGGGACCATCCATAAAGTAGGTACGTCAAATAAGTAATCATGAATTTCATGATTTTTTTGAGCCAAGTCCTGGTCATATTTCAGAGACCTAGTGTGACATCACATGTTTTGCTATATCTCATTGAAAAATCAGTATTTAAAAACAATAAAATCACGCTAGCTACGGTGCGTTTGGCGGCATTCGTCAGTGGTCGTCGGCGATCGGCGCGTGTCTTAAAAGCGGGTATGAACTCGACAACAAAACAATCCTTAAACCATGTTTTAAAAAAGACAGAGCCGAAAATAATTTTTAGTTTGATTAATACTAGATAAGTATATTAGATGTTGAAAAGTGACTTCCACAAAACTTAAGTCCTACCCCATGTCACACTTTGTCGATCATCCCTTACGTGTGACGCACTTTAATAATATATAGGAAATAAACGAAAAGATAAACCTACTATTCATTTATAACGACTTATTAGTGTTTAATGAAGCGCATCGGTTTCACAATGCCCATCTATAGTTACTAGTGAATCACGCGTCACTGTTAAGTACCATATTGTTATTTCAGCATCAGTTAATAAGTCAGGTTGGCCGAGTGGTCTAAGGCGCCAGATTTAAGCTCTGGTTCCCGAGAGGGAGCGTGGGTTCGAACCCCACACCTGACAATTAGTTGACAAATGTATTTTTTTTTAATGATTTTGATATTTTATAAATAATTACATCTTTATATAGATAATCAATGCTTATGCTATACTTTTCGTTGTAATGTTACAACTCAACAATGCCTTTACCGATTTGGATAATTTGGTCTATGATTATTCGTGAAAGTCCAGAGAAGGTTTGTACTATTAGAGTTAAAGTTATGAAAAAAACTTGATTATGATGTAGGCAATCGAGTACTCAGGCCTTAGTTTGGTTCTCGAGTAGAGAAAAATATTTTTTCGGAGGCATGGTTTCTTTAACATTAAGCCAAAAACATCTTGCAAAAAGTTTGAGTACTTACTGTTATTAACAATATAACATTAAAGTGTGATTATACGCAAACGACAGACAAATTGCCGTAGGTACATCTATTTACCCCACTTCTGTATTTTATTAGTCCGAGGTTTCATTTCAAAGAGCTAATGGACCACCATAGACGGGCCCCTATAGGGCCGATATTCAGTCAGGGTTGCGAGGCTAGCGCACTAAGGTATCGCGACATCGGCCTAAAGCAGGAGAAGGAACGGGGGCATTTTTAGTCAGTAAGAGTCTGACACTTTCTAACGCCAGATCCTGGGCGAGAGAAATCATTAGATGATTTTCCCCTCGCAAAAAAGGAGGTTTTACGTGTTCGGATGCCTGTTAATCCAATATACACCCTTTTTGTATTTTAAATCTTCTATCCTTACGAGGTAAAGAAGATCAGCCTGTTTGCATGTCTTCTAATCTATAGGTACTAATATTATAAAGAGGTAAAATTTTCGAACCGCTGGTCGGATTGCCAAAATTCTTCCACTGATAGATAGCTACAATGTTCCTGAGTGCTATAGGCTATAAAACATCCCACTACGATCAAATGGAGCCGAGCAGTTGGTGAAATCGCGCGAGAGTAGCTAGTCCAAAATAATTTCCTAAAAAAATAACTTACTGGTTTCTCCTCCTCGGTGGATGTAGAGGCTTCATCATTCGCATTCACCTTCCTTCGAGGCATGTCATCCTCCATCCTGCCACCGCGACCCGGCAGTGTGTCTGGCAACTGTGTGTGGAAACATAGTTTTAAAATTTCATATCAAAAAAAGTTTTTCTTTCTTTCTGATTTTGTAATTTTAGATTTTGTAATTTCAAGCACTATTTGGTTTGCCATCTTTTCGAATAAAAAAATTAACAAGTTTCTTTCTAATGGACTGTACCTAATCAGGTAAACGTCAATTAAAAATATTAGTCAACACACACAATAGAGATTGTATTGTCACCAATTATTACTGCAATATCTACCTAAACTCTTCAACATAAAGTACAAAATAAATTGTCACCTGTAACAAAATGAGGGTAGGTTGATCAGTCTTCAATAGGTTGACGACATCCATATTTTCAAAAGCGTCTTTGAAGTCTTTGACGTCAGGGATAGGCTTCTCGTCCACCACAGTCATTGCTGAAAGGAAATATATGACTTAAGACATTCTTGTTTTAAATTTTCAACACACATTCTCTTTTTGAATAGTAATTATCGTGAGACATACTAAATTTAATGAAAATAGCGACATAAATAAAGTAACTGAGAATAGTTCTACTAATTTCAAGCCACAACGGGACTCCAGACGGCTGTCATTTAATTTGCGTGAGTAGATAGGTCGCCATTTTCAATAAATTAAATACACATTCTCCGCAAAACCCACTAAACTTAAAGACTATTACTATCTTTTTCTTGCTACTATAGAGAGAAAGAGACGGAATATAAGAAGTACAAAGAGGGTAGATATACTTTTAAAGCAATTTTTATACAAAGATCAATAGTCTTATTTTAGTTAACATGATTATTTCAATTAAGGAAATTAAAGCTAATAGCGCAGAATGGGCCGAGTATAATGTGACCAAGTGATTATGATTGAAAACTTTAAGCCAAAGCTTTGAAACCCATTTAAAAAGGATTTAATCAATTGATTAAATCCTCTTTACGTATAACCTTCGCCACAATAAAAGCGTAGAAAAACCATAAATCAATCCTTCTATGAGACATTATTTGAAACAGTCTCAAATACGGCTTACGAAGGATTAATTAAAATTAAAGTTAATGTTTGATTAGATTTTATAAAAACTGAAACTTGATAGTGCTTTGAAATGTTTAGCTTAGATTGGTCCCTGCTAAGTGGATCCCTTTTTCTTTCATTCAACGTCTTTTAAACCCCAAAGGATTCAAAAGGTAGTAGATACTCTACAACTACTACTATTGTATAGGTACATAGGGCACATAGATACTGTACCTATGCAATGTAGCACCCACTTCACTAGACTGCAAGTAAAGTGCAATTGATCCTTGCAAGTTAATTTTACCTTGTTCTTAACGTCACGGAAACGGCACTTATGAACCCCTTGTGATAGGGAGTGAAACTTTATAAAATCCAATCAAACAATTATATAAGAAACATCAGTTCCGAATACACAATAAATGCATCGAAAGTGAAGACTTAACAATCTATTACCGGTAGATTTAGCAGAAAATGTGTCAACGAATCTATGGCTACATTTCGGGCCAAGATCAATGTGTCAACGAATCTATGGCTATATTTAGGGCCAAGACCAATGGGAAGTGTTTGTAAACAAAGTACAGCAGTTAACATTTGCATAAACTAGATAGCTGTTTTCTGCTTTTCTATAATTCTACTTTACATTTTCTGTTCCTTATAACTGTAACTAAATACAATAAGAAAGATGAACTGTAAATTGGATACTTCACAAATGGTCAAATTCAATAGATTAGATTTTCGAATATAGGTAAGTATAGTCAAAATTTATATTTGTGTGTCGCAAAATCCTGCGTCTTCTAGCATACTGATTTCTTGAATTTTTTTAAGAAAAGTACAAATATGAAGTATACCTATCTTAAAAAAAATATCTTTAAAAAGGCAGACATTATTTTTGACTGAATCAAGTATCTAAGTGCCCATATAGCTACTGGATACAGTTTCTCCATAATAGGATTTGTTTATCAACACTTCATTCAGCTCTTGGCCTAAGTAACCAAATCTACCGGCAGACAGATTATTGAGTCTGGCAATTATATATAAAAAATATATCCGCTGTCAATGTAGCCGCTCCTTTAGCCGAGGAAACAATTCACACGACGATAGAGAGCTGCAAATATAATAGTACCACCAACTATAACCAGACTTACGCGGAACTCGGTATACGCTGAAATAATAATTATAATAAAATAAAATACTTGATAATGTAATTGAAAAGTAAATTTGAGATAGATATGAAATATTAAGGTAGGTACCTACATGTTAAGAGTTATAATAGCTAGACGAACATAAATTGTCTATCTAAATAATTAATATAAAGAATACTATAATTATATTGGTATACCAGAATAGAAAAAAATATTCTGTACTTATTTTATAGGATAATAATTATAAATGTGAATATTTTTTATTATTATAGACATATCATATTGTAAATACAGTGTTTGTTGTGATACTTTTTTGTGATAGTACCTGTTATAAGTATTTTTAATTAGCATAGACTGTCATTCCTACTAAAGAAAGAATTACTTTTCTTTTCTCTTCGACACAACATGTTTACTTAGTTATTTATTAGTTGTGTAGAAAAAGCGTTGGCGTTTATTGAACGGAAAAAATCGTCTTAAAAACCGATTCCTTAACGGAACTACAGTCTACACAGAGTGGTGCCCCAACTGACAATATTTTTTTACAAATGCACCAAACACATTGTCACTCACTCACACTTTACATAAGTTTGAGTTCGTAAACGCACCCCACCAATAAGACGCATTCTTTTCATTAGAATAATAAGTTGGAAGATAGACAGAATAGAAAAGAACTTAGTGATAGAATTAGATCAGCACGGGATCAGCAGTCTCGACATTTATCTATACGACAAAATCTAGTCGCTAAATAGAATCAACCAATGAATCACCATCAACATCAACTTAATACTTTTACAATATAGTTATTTTTTTTATATCAAAACGTTGCCCGCCACTAGGATTTTCTCCTGTGTCGTGGGTGCGGTTATAAACATACAATTTCACATGCACATGACATCCAGACCCGGAACAACAATTTGTGGATCACACAAAGAGTTGTTCCGTGCAGGAACGACCGCCAGATGTCCAGCCGCCGCCAACCAGTCCGCCAACTATAGCGCAGTCTTATAAACTACTGGATAATAGTTGATAATCTATTATCCAGTAGATTGTCGGTATATGTATAAGACATAATAGAAATTACACATTGTGGATGCATGTGTGCGTGGATCCATGTCTAAAACACACGAAAGATTAAACGCTGACTTTAACGCCCGGTTTCTACTTATGTCGAGACCACCATTATTGAAAATGTCTACAAATACCATAGACAATCGTCGCCGGAATTTCGCCGGTTTTTTAGATATTATGAGATTGATGAATGAAATGAGTTTTAAAAATGGTTATTTCAAAACATCGCAATAACCGAGACAGCGTAAATCGTGGTGCTACAGATAATGTATACCGCTATCGCCTGCGTCGTCGGGTTCTTTCTTCACAACCACCTCCTGTTTAACTTTCAGTGACGGTTTTATTTTCGACCATCCTATAAACAATACCATTCAGTATTATAATAAGAGAGATATTAAATTTATTATATATAACGGTTATATGAGTAACTCGTTAAATACACACAATTGAATGTATTTAAATCTGTTCTTGCTGAAAATTTAAAATACAACTGAATATGTTTTGGCATATTATATTCAGTTGTTTCATAAAACATAAAATAAAACGATCCAATAATAAAACAGTAAACTCAATATATACATGGATAAATAATGAACAAAATGTTAAATAGTCAATACACAGTACCTTTAGTAAAAAGATACTGTAGCGTACAATGACCTTTAAAATGATTACAAATTTATGTGAACAATAATTTAGAAAAAAATACTAAAATATAAAAAAATATATTAAATGAATTCCTGATTAATACTAAATTTTCATCAATAAAATATCATTAAATTAATATTCTCCATACATGCTACATAATACTCAATTTTGGACATACCACCATCATCCATGGGCAGCTTGATGGGTGCATCTGTCTCATGTATTTTCTTGAAGTCTTCACAACTGTCATCATCAGCCAAATACCCACTTTCTCCTAGCACTGACTTAATTTTTTGTTCCTCTAGTTCTCTGTCAATCTGAAAATTTATTTGTTGAGTTAATACATAATTCTTTTCAACTTCACTAAACTGAGAATTAATAAACTAGTATCTTCAATCACATAAGTTTATGATGGCATAGTATGAATTAAATTGTAATATCAAATATAATACAGATTTCAAGTTTCATTTTTACAACAAAAGCAAACAAAAAATTCCAGCCTAGGAACAACCAAACATAATGTGTTATTAACTGTCTGTCTGTTTCTGTCTGTCTAACTGATGGGTATTTTGACATGAATTCCTTCAAACAAACAAATCTAGTTTAAAATGTGTCACGTAAACTGATAGAACTTTAAACAGAGTACATATATTACTAAATATCCTCTGGAAGTCTAGAAGGAGGAGGTTTATAAGTAACAACATGAGATGAGGCAAAATAAATTGGAACATATATTTTAACAAGCTTATGGTAAAGAATAAACTTGTTTTCAAAATTGGTTCATGGTTCAAGTTCATGTAGGTGGTTCTAACTCACGGGGCTCTGAGATAAAAATTGGCGTACCGCAAGGTTCAATTTTGGGTCCGTTTCTCTTCTTAGTGTATGTTAATGACTTGCCATTTCTATTTAAAACCGAGCCAAGAATGGTGCTGTTTGCAGATGATACATCATTAATTTTTAGAATAGGTCGACGTGTTAATAATTTGGACGAAGTAAACAGCTCCATTCATCGAGTTCATAATTGGTTTACAGTCAATAATTTAGCACTTAACGAGAAAAAAACAAAATGTATTAAATTTAGCTTGCCCAACGTACACAATAATGATTGTGACATAATTTTAAATGGGCAAAAGTTAGAATTTGTTAACGAGACTATGTTCCTAGGTATTACGCTAGACAATAAACTTCAATGGGGTTCCCACATAAAGACGCTTTCGGGAAGACTGAGCTCAGCTGTTTTTGCAGTTAGACAGATTAGACAGCTCACAGACGTGAACACAGCAAGGCTTGTTTATTTTAGCTATTTTCACAGCATTATGTCGTACGGAATTTTGCTATGGGGTCGAGCTGCGGAAGTAGATTCAATATTTATTTTGCAAAAGCGGGCTATCCGAGCGATATATAACTTGTCCCCTCGTGAATCTCTGAGAGAACTATTTAAAACGATAAATATCCTAACGGTACCTTGTCAGTTTATATATGAAAATATTATGTACGTAAGGAAAAATTTGCAATTATTTGAAAAAAGAAGCGATAGACACAATTTTAATACTAGAGGCAAAGATAGGCTGGCTGTGCCACGATTCCGTCTGTCCAAAGTACAGAAATCCTTTATGGGGTTCTGTGTAAATTGTTACAATAAAATTCCAAGAAGTGTATTAAATCTTAATGAACGAAAATTTAAAACTTATATTAAACGCGAATTATGTAGACAGGCATACTACAAACTTTCAGATTATATTGAGGATAAGAATGCCTGGCAGCATGTTGGTTCGGCTCCACTGGACAATTCTCAAATATGTAGTCAGTAGTTACCAAAATTCTCAAAATTAATGAAACCTTGAATGAGTTTATATAGAAGCATTCTTTTGGATTGTGAGTACGCATATGTGAGCGCCATGTACGAAACAACAAAGGATTAAAATTTTAATGATAGATTAAATAGACCATCATTTGTTCCTTTTTATTAACAACTTGTCTCTGCATTGTTCTCACATTGGGGTACAGTAATGTATAAAAAATGTATTATTGATGAATTGTAAAACAAATATTTTTTTTAAAAGAGTAACGATGGAGTTTCTTGCTCGTTCTTCTCCATTCGAAACTACAATTTGGAACGAGCACCTAGCTTCACTGACGAACAGACTGACAGACTACCATTCTATTTTGACGTTTCAAAAGTACCTATTTATGGTTTATTTGGAATAAATGATTTTGATTTGATTTGATTTGATTTGGCCTCCATAGTATTTATCTTAAAAGCTACAAACATGAAACAGCCTCTTCTGCCCGAGTAAGTGTGATATCTTACCTTTATAACATCCTTTACCCTAATAGTAGGTTTCTGCATAGTTTGGACTGTGTCTGTGTCTCTGCCATATGATACACGTGATGAATGTCTTTCTGCACTTCCCAAACCTGAAAAAATCAAATTTAAATATTTTATGGCTGCAAAAACAACTGCAGTTAATTCTCTTAGATACATTTCTCTGTTTACTGTCTGAGATAAGTTATTATATACTGTAAAGTTAGTATTATTACCTTCTGAGAAAACTCCGCTGGATTTAATAATGTTTGGCCCATTTTTGAAGTTCTTATTTCTGTCATTTCTCCTGTCTTTTTTGTCTTTATCATCTTTCTTTTGGTTCTGCTGTGGTTTTGGTGCACTGAAACATATTTTCAAAATAAAAATATAGGATAAACCATGAATAAATTGTTTTATTTTGATATAAAGATTTAAGTGGATAGAAATTCATGTGACATTCTTTTCAGACTTTGACTAGATTAATTATCCTTTGTTTAGGTTAATCATGAGATTCATGACGACTTAACTATATCCTTCGGGCAATATTCGTAAAATTAAATTTTACTAAATCATAAATTAACATGAACCCTGCACAAAGATACAATTGATAAAAACACTTCCAAGAATGAAATCGCTGCTTGTACCCTTTATCACCTAGAAATTCCATTCAATTTCACTGCAAAAAAATAAGTGTTATATATACAGAAAATGCCTTACCCTTTGTTTTTATTTCTGGATACATTCAAATTTGGTGTGAATACTTTTTTGTTCGTTTTAATTCCCCCCAGAGTAAGGTCACGGGGTGGTTTGAATGAAGCCAGGCGCTGCAGGGGATCAGGGCCAACTCCATTGGTCTTTGACGACTTATCATCAGACATTTTAACGATATATTTTAAGTTTTCTACTTACAAACTATTAAATATGATATAATGTATTTTTTAAATACGCGTGAGTTTTTTTTTTTTTTTTTCTTTCTTGAATGGCAACCGAGTCTCCAATTTAATGTTGTCGACTATACTGCCAGTGTCAAGTAGTGACGGCAGATTTATGGGCCCGTCGAACTTTAACTTTGTGGTAGTCTGTTGTTAGTAGCTGAAAGGACAACACATGGGTTAGTAAAACTATATCTACTTATTTTATACTTTTCTACTTTACATTATATAATAAAGATAAATAAGAGGACATACACAACTGACATATACGTATATACCATAATTATAATATTACACACCATCACAGTTTAATATCATTATCATTAATAAATTTTGATAGACATTTAATTAATTTATAAGAAAAGTGAGTTAAGAGGGACTGGAAATTGATTGGAAGGGGGATTTCTAAATTTGGGAGTTTTTTGTAGAGGTCAAAGGATTGGGAGTTTAAGGGGCAAGAAAAGAATATATGGTCCAAAGTACCCTCATCAAGACCACATTCGCACAGCGAACTGTCACGAACATGGATCTTTTTGAGGAATACTGGACTGCTACAATGGCCAAGTCTGAGCCTGCACAAGGTCGTAATAGTGTGTCGGGGGAGTTTGGTATATTTGCAAAACCAAGGCTTCCGCTGGACGTCGGGCTGGATATTAGCGTAATGCACACCTTTCCGTTTGGAAGAGTCCACCCACACAGCAGCCCAAGATTTAAAAAGCTTGTGTTTTGTGTCCGCTCGTATATCATACCCGTACACAACGTTATGTTGGTGTTCCACATTATTCGAGGCCGCAAACTTTGCCAACGTATCCGCACATTCATTACCACTTATGCCAGAGTGCCCAGGAATCCAAGCGATTTCTATTTTTAAACCATCCTCGTGACACGCAAGAAGTAGAGCTTTAATTTCTATGATTAAACTACTATAGGTTCTGGAGTGAAGCTGGTCTTGGCCAAGAGCTTGAAGACTGCTTCTAGAATCTGAGAAGATGACTGAATTTTTCAAGTTGTGAGCTCTGATAAACTTTATGGACTCCAGAATAGCAGCACATTCCCCAGTAAATACAGAAGCCTCAGAGGGATATTTGGCTAACAAAGCAATCCTTGAGTTCTGATAATATGCTGCTACTCCTGTGCATCCCTCAGGAGTCAGTTTAGAAGCATCTGTGTAGAACAAATTCCAGTCACTCCAGAAATTGCTCAACGCGCGTTTGAATTTCTTGTTGGCGTTCGCTGATGATTTTGCAATGCCTAGTTCCAAGACAATGCTTGGCCTGAAGTGGATAATCTCATATGCAGAAGAAAAGACCGGGAGTACAGGATATTGGCTGATGGGTGCAGAGAGGTTTTTAAGTTCTCTGTACCTAACAATCACAGGAGGGACAGACTTATTGTTCCAGTAAGGGGAGGAATTATAGGAGCAGTGGATCTGGTCCAAGATCGGAAGTAGGGGATGCGATGAAAGGGAAAGGGCTTTCGAAACGAAACGGTCTGCTAGGTATTGTCTCCGAAGGTCGAGGGGGGGCTCTGCACATTCGACCTGTAGGGCATTTATAGGGGATGACTTCATAGCTCCAATAATTATTCTAAGGCATTTGGCCTGAATGGAATCAAGTTTTTTAAAAGCTTCCTTATTGCAAGGTGCCATAAGGAAGCAGCAATAATCCATTACGCTTCTGACCAATGCATTATAGATGAGCTTCAATGTAAAGGGGTTGGCACCCCACCATACTCCAGCCAATGCTCTGAGTACAGCTACTGACCGTTCACACCTTGTGACGACGGCGTCTACGTGATCCAACCCCGACATCCTAGAGTCTAGAATCACGCCTAGGAATCTAGCCTTGTTGCTTATCGGGATTACCTGACCGTCTATTTCTATACGGACATCTGGAATGCGACGGCTACGTGTAAAAATTACAGCCGAGCTTTTTGGGGCACTTAAACATAACCCATGATTAACCAGCCATTGGTTTAATGAGGATAAAGAGACATTCATGGAGCGAGCGGCGTCTGTTATAGAGGTATTGGTGACCATTAACGCGATATCGTCAGCGTATTGTAGGATATTGCAGTCATAGTTTAAACAGGAGGGAAGGTCATGGGTATAAATATTGAAGAGGATGGGACTAAGGACCGACCCCTGGGGTAACCCTCTCCAGGCAGTTCTCTGTAGAGGGCTATCTTCAGGAGTTCTTAATTGGAGGGTACGATTGGAGAGGATATGGCCTATAATCTGGCAAATCCTACTCGGGATTCTCAGCTTTTGCAATTTTTGCCTGAGAAGGGGTAGGAGAACCGAGTCATAAGCCGCTGAAATATCCAAGAAGGCCGCAACCAATGACTCACTCCTGCTAAGGGCCAGTCGGATGGCCGATGTGAGGGTGCCCACACTATCGGCCGTTCCCAAGCCCTTTCTAAAGCCAAATTGAGTCACCGGCAGCAGTCTCTGGCCCTCCACCAACCATTCTAATCGGTTTTTTATAAGGTGTTCTAGGATTTTAATAAGGATGGACGATAGCGCAATAGGCCGGTAAGACGAATGATCACCAGAATCTTTACCAGCTTTTAACAGCGGTATAACAACCTGAACCTTCCAGGAAGGGGGAATATAGCCAAAAATAAAACAAAAATTGACCAAGTCAAGGTAGTACTGTTTAGTTTTGATTCCTGATTTTGAGAGGAAGGAGTAAGGGAATCCATCATTACCTGGTGCAGAGTCTTTCACATGGTTCAGCACCGTTTGGAGCTCTTCCATTGTGAACTTTTTGTCAAGGGGGTCATGTGAGTCTTCACACAATCCCCAACAACATTCATCTTCACTGGGAACATAAGTAGGAGCAATGTTGGCAAAGAACATATGGTTTAGACTATCAGGTAAGATGGAAATTGAAGGAGGTTTAGAGGAGTTCCTAAAGCTCTTCACCCTCTGCCAAACCGTTGCCACCGGTGTGGATGGGTTCAAAGAACAACAGAAACTCCGCCAGCTCTGTTTCTTCTTCTTTTTAAACAACTTCCTTGACTTAGCCAATATTCGCTTGAAGTTTATGAGATTTTCCAGGTTCATATCGTGGTTATATGTCTTTTCAGCCTCATTCCTAGCTCGTATCATGGCAGTGCATTCACTATCCCACCAAGGGGGGGAGGGGATTTTTCCTTTTGGGATGCTTTTCTCCGGAAAGCAGTCTTTAGCTGTAGCAGCTACTACGTCGGAAAATTGGGAAAAGCACTCCAAAGCGTTTTCAGAGTTAACAATTGGTAATGCGGAAATGCGAAGATCCAGCAGTTTGGAATAAAGGTCCCAATCCGCTGAGTTTAGCCGGTATTTTAATAAGGGAGGAAGGGATTTATCTGGAATGGATTTAGATGGGCTCTTAATAATAATGGGATAGTGATCACTGCCATAGGTCATATCCAAACAACTCCAATTAAGCAAGCTAGCCACACTAGATGAGCAGAAAGTCAAGTCCACACAGCTGTTTCTTTGACCAAGTGCAGACCTACGAGTGGGACTGCCATCATTGATGACGCATAAGTCGAGGTCATCCAGCATGTCTACTAGGTCATGACCTATGCTATCGCATATTTCAGACCCCCATCGAAAGTGATGGCAGTTAAAGTCGCCCATTACAAGTAAAGGACCATTTACTGAACTTAATAGATTTTTAATTAAAATGATATGACTACTCTGGGGGTGGGCAATATAAAACACAAAAATGTTTATGTCCTCAGCCTTAACAGCGACAACATTTATGTCATCGCCAACGAAGGGTAGAGGGATCTGGGAGAAGGGTACTTTGTTATTTACTAACAAAGCACAACCTCCATAACCATCAGATCTGTCCTGTCTGACAACACTGAAACATGGGATCCTGAAATTAATATTCGGTAGGAGCCATGTCTCAGCAATGCCACAAATTGAAGGTTGAAATTTATTAATTAAATGGAGTAAGTCACTCTTCCTGGGAAGAGTACTCCTCACGTTCCACTGAAGGAGAGTTAGTGGGTGGAATTTTATAAATATACTCTAGGATGGTAGCTAGTCTGTGTGCAACGTGGTCAGGTACGGCTTGAGCAGGGTTAGATAACACTGCTATCAACATATTGGAAATAATATTTAAAATGTCTTTGGAGCTATGTTTGTTGGTTCCAAATTCCATTGGGAAAGCGCAACCATTTTGGGATGGGGAAAAAGAATAATCTTGGATAAGGGCCTGATGGGCCTTCTTGTCATAACTAGGAGAAAGGGGAGCATGGGATTTGGGTTTAAGGAGTACTGTTTTTTTATATGAGGTTCTTTGTTGGGATGGTTTTTTGGTTGGTGTTGAGTCAATATAGTTTATTGATTTAGACACCTCGGCATATGACCTTTTGACAGGTGGGAAAACTTGGCTAGCTTCAGCATATGAAATAGATTTTTCCGCCATTAAAGCTTTAATGCTCTTTTGGCGGCCCAGCTCAGGACAAGCACTGTCATTTGCAAAATGATTGCCATTGCAGTTTATACAATGTGCATCCTCACTAGCTAATTGGCATCCATCACCAGGATGATCCTGGCCACACTTGAAGCAGCGTGGTTTTGAACGGCATAAAGTGCGGGTGTGCCCAAATCGACAACAGTTATAACATTGGATTGTCGGGTATGAATAAAGTTCAACTGGGAGCGCTGAATAGAAGCAAAACACTTTCTTGGGTAAGATTTGGCCATCAAATGTCAGGACTACGGTTTGGGTGGGCTTCCATTCCATTCCGCTTGGTGAGGAAACTTTCCTGTTCATCCGTCTTGCTTTTATCACAACACCACATCCCGCAGGAACCTTAATGTTGCTGATAACCTCCTCCTCCGACCACTCAATGGGAACATCCCTCACTATACCCATTCTCGTGATATTGAATTGTGGGATTGATGTTGTATAGTTTTGTGCCACCACACAATTTACTAAAAAACTGTTGGCATCCTGGTGTGACACAAACTCCACTGAAACCCTGTTCCTTCCTAATCGTTTAACACCGCCAATTTTAACATTATTTATATTGTTCCGCATCAAGAACATCCCGAACTTTACTGGGTGGAGTGTGGTACCAGAAGTCTGGGAGTCCTTGAGGGAGACATATACGATGTATGGGGGGTTGTCCTTAGCTGTGTAACATTGCCTACCATTTATGCTTTTAGGTACTTTTGGAGGGTTGTTACGAGAGATAGGTGGGGAGCCTGCTGATCTTTTTCTGTTGGCTGATGACTCAGAGTCCATTAGTTCGGGATCGGGGTTATCGTGGGGTAGGGTAATCGTTAAAATTGGTTGGTAGTCCAACGTTTTATCAGGAGGGTCCGGAGGTTTCTCCTCGTCCATTTTGGACAATGGAGAGAAGAGGGAAGTAAAGGGAAGAAAAAGTTATAATTAAAGGTTAAAACTACTACTTACTACGTTAAAAAACACACACAAACACAATAAAACAACACAAAATGCTTCAATTTAGATCACTATGAAAAAGATCACTAAAATTGACAACAATCGTAGTACCGATAAAAAACACGTGCGTATCCTTCACCTCTACCAACGAAAGTGTACGCGTGAGTTTGTTTTGAAATAATGAATTGTCAAAGTATTCTGTCAGTCAGTAAACCGTAAAATGACATCTTTCGGGCATGGTTATTTTGTTCAGAAACCAGAAAAAGCATTAAATAAATTTTGGAATGTTATCTCCGTTCACCCAATCACTTCATTAGGTAATTATTTCATTTGATTGATATTCCAGAAATAATCTTTGTATTTTTTTCATTTGGTTGGTTGTGATAACAGTTATACCAATTATTAAAGCAGTTAAACCAAAAAGACTATAATGCAAACTGGACAGACGAGGGGATATTATGTTGTCCGGTAAAAAAAAAACAAATACAATTGTATGAAAAACCGTTTGGCATTCAACGAATTTGTTTGTTTGTGCGACTTTTCGTATTATTTTTGTTGGATTTCTATTAATTTCATCTCTTTACTAGTTTGCTGTCTCTGCTGTGTACCTCGACGATATGGCTGAATCGCTATTTGATATTTTTGGTGATCACCTAACCAGACAAGCGGTGAAAAATGTTTCGCGGCAACCACTATCAAATATTGGTAAGAAATTTAACATTTAAACGTTTTGAACTCGTTTATTTGCTTGATAATATAGTTTCTGTACTTAGCTACCGAAATAACATTGCTAAAGTTCGATAACATTTCTTTTTAAAGCATGTCTGCTGTTAGAAAAGACAAGGTTGAATGGGGGTAGACCAACACAAATTAGTATTACCAAATTAATCAATATACTTTATTTTTCTTATAGAAAATATGGGTAAAACCGTATCTGCCGGCCCAGTGAAGCCTAATGAGCCTGTGAAAAAATCTGAAGGACCAAAGAAATCCTTTCTCTCCAACACTGGGAAGGCATTGAAAAATACTCCAGTGAGGAATGTGTTCACTCCCAGAGCAGTAAATGTTGGTTCCATGATATACAGTGATGAGAACAGTGAAAACCAACTGTGTGGAGAGGATATTGAGTTCCATAGACCATCTTACAAGTATGGTAGGTATAGAAATATTTTAATCACACTTTTCTGTGTTCTCTTAACATTTGCTATGAATTGTGTATTAGCCTTTCAATTATGGTAACACAAGACACAATAAAAGAAGACACATTTGCTTGGGGGTTGATGAATTAATAAAGTCTGAATATTTCTTTCTCACCCATATGGGTTCCACAGACAATCACCACAGAGATCTGTTTGACTACTTACCTATCCCAGAACCAGAGATCTTGAAGCAGTTTTCCCCTCCAAACACTCCTCCACCAGCCACTAAGAGGCACAGCATTGAGCTCAACTGTTCATACCAAGATGAATTTTTCAAAGGTAAAGGATCTATTTATTTTTTTAAAATTGTCCTGATAAATTGTCCACTTAAGTAGACTGTCTTATGCATTCTTGCTATTCAAATAGGTGCTGCAGATATAAAAATGTTGGTAGGTGCAAACAAAAGTATGTGTTGAATGTGTATATTGTGGATATACACATAGTGAATTTATGTCACAAACATTTCAACTTGAATATGAGTGATTTTTAACTGGTGACAGATTCTTTAACTGCTGCAGACAAATGTCCTGATAGTAAGCCTGTTGGGGATTCAGGATTTTAAAATTGGGTGAATTAAGAATAGGAGGGTTATAGACAATCTCTGGCACACCCTGACACAGAGGCAAGTGCTGTGAAAATAATATTCTTCTTTGCGTTGTCAATTAATATGTCATAACATTTTCAGATGATTTCTCAACTGGCAGCATCCCTGATGATGACCTAGACCTTCCTGACCTTTATTAAGCATTCATATTACTTCGCTTAGATTAGGCTATAAGTTTTATGTGAAATGTATGACTTAGGTCTAGTAATTAATTGTCAATAATATTGATAGAAACAAACATGTATGGCTAGTTTGACTACTTATTTTAACTATGTGATTAAATATTTCTTCAGAAATAGGATTTTTTATTAATTTTATCTGCCTTTGCTTTGCTCAGCAGTGGGCACCTATTGGCTGATGATGATGATTAATTTTATCTCAAGCCCTTGTAACAGTATTGATATTATGGCAATGTAGCAATTTTTTTAACCCTATTTATGATTTTTTGTAACAGAATTACTTAAATTTAGAATAAGAAATGAAAGGAAAACAGAGGCAAAATTTAATTTTTTTTTTAGCTAAATAGTATAGTAGTACCTAGTCTATTTGCTTTACTAGCAAAGGGGGAAGTCAAATTGCAGGCCAAATAATTATATACAAAAGATAATAATGATGGTTATATTTATTGGTACCTACACTAGTCAATGGGGATACACAGTAAAAACTAATTACATAGCCTGTTTGGTCCATAAATACAAAATATTTTCTATGAATTTATTTGCTTTTCAAACTCTGATAGTTTGCTTTACATAAATATGTTGCATTGTGAAGCTTTTAGATCATTATTGAAAGCCATCCTCTTTGAGTGAGACAACTTACATTGCATGTATTTTTTTAAATAATATAATTTTTATTCTTATGCGGATAATATGGAGTTGTAGGTATTACATACAATTTGTTTGATTATTATGTGACTGTGATTTTAGTATTATGCCTCTGCACTTCTTCCTGTCATTTTATGAAGTTTTCAGACATTTCTGATATTAGAGAAATAAAAGTATTTGTATAATAATAATTATTTTATTTTAAATATTTACATCTGTGTTATTACTATTACAATGATACACTTAATTAACACAATAACAGCTAGCATTTATTATAATAAAAAAGTACTGGTCTTTCTCAAAAAGTGAACTCATTACATTAAATGTTACTTTTATCCAATGACCTAATAAATAATGCTAGAATACCACTTATAGTTTCTTCCATGTTGTAACGTTTATAAATGACTTACCTACTATGTTAAATACTTTTTACCTAAAAACTGAACCTTCTTCTCAAAAGCAGGCAATGTGATCAATGTGTCCTCTTTATAGAATGGATTTAGCATCAATTTTATGTAAGCCTCATAAACATCTGTGAAGAAATTCTTAATATTGTCCTCATTTCGGGCATCATGGACCATTATGAACCTCATCTGGAAATACATTCAACAAATGAGAGGTAGTTTGATACTTTTCTTGTTTCTACAAGGAATTTACTTTTTTAAACATTGATAGAAGAAAAACAACCCATTATAAACAAGTTATAGCAATAAAGTTTGAAATATTGTGTAGTTCCAATTCCAAACTCAAGTTACTTTGCTTCTTTTCTAAAGTGAGGCAATGGTATGAAACTATACTGCCTACCTGGCTTGCAGTCACAAATGCTGAGACAAACCATTGATTGAACTTGTCCACAGACTTCAGGTAAGTGTTGGTGACCTTCCACATATGTTCATCCACTAGATCAAGTGCTGCATGGGCTATGAACTGATTTAAATGTCTGTTGTCCTCTTTCTGAAACATTTCGATAAGTTTTATGTTATCATTTTAGACGCAATAGTTTAAGTTAAACGATGATTATTTATTAAAGCAATATCCATAGCTGCTTTAGACTGCAAAAACTAGGATAAATACCTTCGGTTCTTTAGTCACTGGTATGAAATCCATTTCAAATATTGGGTTGTCGGAGTGCCCAACAATAACGAAATAATAAGTTCCAGCCGACATTTTTCATCGGATAGTTTAATTTCTCAAAAAGCTGTATTGCATGGACCAAATATTATATTAAGTAGGTGTTTCTTCTAATATTACTTCAAAACCATATCAATAGGCAATAGTCAACTGTCAAAATCGTAATCAAATGGTGTTGATTTGTCAATGTGTGACATACACATTGAGATAGAAAATATATAGAGGCGCCGTGTTACTATAGAAGTATACATGCTTATACAAATATGAGGGAAATATGAAACAAACTATGAAATATCATTTTTTCTCACTCGTTCTAAGGCAATAATTGTATTAGACAAAAGAGACAACAATATTTAAGTTGTTTCTTAATATGGAAACAAATCATTTTGACATTAGCAAAGTTGTAGGTAAGTGCCATGTCCGCCATCTTAAGCGCTCAGAGTACCTGAGTTTCATGGTAGTTGTCCTGTCAAACGGTTGTTTATGTTTTAAATTATTGCGGTTTTTCAGTAAATTACAAAGAACCATTTTTTTAAACTTCAAATATATATAGTGAAACAAAAAAACAATATGCCTGTGTGTTGTATTGTGCAGTGTGGTACAAAAAAGAACGAAAATCAACCTCAATTGTCTTTGTATAGGTTAGTAAACAGTTTTCATCAAATATTACTTAGAATAATCCACATAGATAGAAAAAAATGTCACGGATACTTTAATCTATTGCCAAAGTATATATATTTACTTTTATTTCTGTCTGTGAGACAGTTTTAGTAAAAAAATGTTGTTTACAATAATATGTCAATATGGCATAGTTACGTACCATTTCACAAAAGTATCGATATAATCTCCCATTTAAAATTCAACATATATTATACTAAATAATCTATTTTAACAATGGATGTTTCCGCAGTTTTGTGTAACGCTAAAGTAAGACGTCAGTATTTTGGTATTGGTTTTAGTTACATAAGTAGAAGTTCAAATTATCATGTTTTATAATTATACGGGCGCGATTGACAGAGCGGCGTTGGCGACGATCCCAGTGCGACCACCAAGCGTAATAATAAAAAGTGAGATACATACAATAAGATTGACTTCACTACATATCTATTTTGTGCTAACGTAGTTTCGAAGATATCATCGCTTAATCAGACGCGCCGAAATTGTGCGCGAGCACTTCACAAATACCCACAGGTTTTCCACATATATAAAAATAAACATTTAACAAACACTATCTTTTTCTATTTCACCATTCCATTTAACGCTGTTCATAAACACAGTCCTATTTTTTTAAAAGACGCTTTACGTAGAATTATATGAATACAAATTCGACTTGAGAAAATCATTAGCCAATCAAGAGACCAAGTTAACCCCGGGTTCCGGGTTCTAGCTAGGCCGACGGCAAAGTAGGAACAGGAGTTGATTTTAGTCAGTAACGGTCTGTCCCGAAAAAGGCCGGAGATGACATTAGATGATTTCCCATAAAAAATACCGTTAATCATCTGGCTAATCCCTAAAACTATACCTACGTAGAACTTTTACTCAAATTGTATCGATACTCGTTAAATACTTAGTCGGCACAACCCTAGCAACGGCAGCCATCTTATGCGACATTTTGGATTGTAGGTAGGCACCTTCTTTTCGTAGGTATTTCAAGTCCATATATTTCCTATGTCAATGGACATACATAATTAAAGTTTGTCAAAGTCAAACTGACTGATGTCAAACAAAGACAAGTCAAAGCCGAAATCCGGGTATTCCGATTTAAAAAATATAATAGTTCTAATTTTAATTTAATAGCGGGAAATCTTCAAACGTCGATCTGTTTAATTTATTGGATTTATTTTCAGCAATTGTTTAAAAATGTCTGTGACAATTATTAATAAGATGAATAACACACGTAAGTAATACAAAGTGTAGTAATTATCAAGTGCTTTCAATCCTGGTACCTATTTGTTAACGTTTGTTAATTTTAGATTCCTGGTCAACTCCAATCGATAAGTTGATGCTTTGGAAAGGAAGTTGGCATAAATACGATTCGAAACTAAGTAATACGTTTCTGCGACTTCATTTCGATCAACTAATAATAACAGCAGACACGAAAATATTAGAATCGTTTAATATGCACCATAAAATAAAAGGGATTTATAAAGAAGACGTACTAATATTAATCGTTACAAGTGTTTCAAAAGAAGTAAGTCATTTTATTATATTTTTTAGATGTAGGTATATACAATTTATCGCATAAATTACAGAATTGTTGGGAAAGAGATGCTCGTTTCCAAATGGAACGCTGATAATAATCAAACGTATTTTAAATTACATTTTTCACCGGTTTTAGATACGGAAAATAAAATTTCAACTTAAATCAAATTCAGGACAGTGTCTACAATTACTTGGTCAACATTTTCCTGTAATAAGCCATAGTAATATGCAAGCTAGCATTGTTAATGCGAAGTATCGAAATATGGACGATGTCTTAAAACACGCTTTAGAAAGCAAGCGTAAGTAAACTTTCTTACAATATGTATATTCTTTCACTTCATCAAAGTTTAAACCATACACCATTTTCTAATTTTTTCCAGAACATGGAACGAGTCCTTTGAATATACCAAGTTCCTTTGATAATTTCATTAAAATATGCTTGATGGATCCAACATTTCCTCAATTAGTTTTTGAAGCTGAAAAAATTATCAACGACGTGATTATGCCACAAACACAATAAACGTCTTTTTTTTATAAAAATGTGATTCATAATGAACGCATCGATTACTTATTGAACTTTTTTTATCTGTGACGCTGTCTGTCTATTTTGAATTTTGAATTTCAAACGGGAACTGGCGGATTTGTTGTGGTTTCTGTGTAGTGAAAATAAATAAAAACACTTTTTCTTTAGTTTGTTACTCTTTATAGTTTTCTGCTAAAATGAATCCAAATAGATATATTCCTGGCCAATCCAGTGCTCTACGGAAGTCGAGGTAAGTGGAATTGGTTCTTTTTTTGATGTTTTGGTTTTCTCATCGTAAATATGAACTTTGTTCTCCCAAATATCGAGATATTCTTATATTAGGTAGTCTTATATTATTTGCTAACTATTAAAGACTATTTTAAGTTTAATTTTGACGTTAAGTAACTTTTTGTACAAAGGCTTGAGGGGAAAGTGTCGTTACTGCCGAAACCGCGTCGACCTGGCTCTACGGACCGCTTATCGACGGAAGCTCGCCGGCCTAGTACTGCAGGACATCGCTCTAGTAGTGCGGAACCCGCTAGAGGGACGTTTGGAGCCGGCAGACTTAGCAGAGAGGCTTCTGCCACGAAGTTACCTTTGAATGGAGTAAGTGCTCAGTGCTAATAATGAAATATTATGTAGTAATGCAAATCTTTACGAGTGTTGTAATTTGTATTAAATGATCTTTACAGAGATCCCGTTCCCAGCAAGCTGAAAGGTTTGGCCAGTCTTCTATGACACCACTAAGGTCTAGTCACTATGCTGCCAGACCTACTACAACACCTGTTGTAAGTATTTGGATGTTCTTATTAAAACTAGCATATCAACATTTAATTAAATATTAAATATTGCACAGCGAGTAATTTCTTCTCTAATAATTACAAATCATTTTAATTAATGACTTACATTAATGAAAATATCCATCTCATATCAAAAACAGGTTGGAAAAGCTAAACCATACAGTTTATTGTTTCTTAATAATACAAGATTTATTAAAGAAAGTTAATGTTTACAGCGGACTCCATCAGAAGATAGAGCAAGTAGGAACTGGCAAACTTCTTTAGATAGAGCCTTGGCTTTCGTTACCATTAAAGATCAAAGGTATGTTTGAGTTTTAAATCTTTAACCACTATAGACTACAGCAGATAATATGGATTTACACAGAACACCTACTATTTTAATCTAATGACTATTTTGTGATGTGACTAGACTTTAATTAAATGGAGACCTTACGATTAACTGCTAGACCAGTTACTGTTGTTTTTTTTAACAGTACAACCAGTATCCAAAGTAAAATATTGTATATTCATCATATATTCTAGACCTATCTCAGCAGTAGCATGGCAGCGCGCGGAATGCAGTCGCGTAGGGGACGCGCTGGCAGCCCGGGGCGGCGGCGCGGCTCCTGCCATGGCACTCATACGACCCCTCACCATTGCACGCTTCGTGGACATCGCCTCAGCATTACTCTCAGCTATAACTAGGGATACTAAACTCAATACCGATAATTATGTTACTAAGGTATAAGGTTTTATTTTCCATCGTATATTATATTTTGATCTACTGGTAAGGTGCTTAGGATATTAACAAACAGTAATTGTGATTGATTGATTGTGAAACAAGAATTCAAGAATTTTTTTTTAGATAAAATCAAAGAACCACATCTTAAAAGTTAACAAATATTCCATTAGTGTAAATAGAAAATAATAGTCATAAAACACCAAGATGTATTTGTATTCTTATTGGCAGCAGATGTCTTTCTAAACACCTACATTGTACTTAACTGAATTTTCGATTTCCACCAGCTTCCACATCTATCAAAGCGCCTCTTGTACCCAGGCACAGTCTCCAAATCCTGGCTGAAGACAGTGAACACTCTCCATGCGTTTCCACACGCTTTAGCACTCATTGCATACCTATTGGATCTGGTCAACCATATTGTAAGTATTTATGAACATTCTTTAAGTTAGATGTGTTACAGACTAGTTAAGTGAGATGGTGCCTGATAGACTCAAATTATATGTGATTTGAGTTTTACTGCCAAGGGTCAACTAATAGCTATGTACTTATTGCTATAAAATGATATCTTGCTGATTTAATATATTTTTATTGCTGGACTGCACAACTGTACTTTTTCACAGGAAATGCCAATATCTGACGACACACTGTATGTCGGAAAGGATGAGTTTGCCTGTCTTCGCAGGGACTACCTCTACAAGTGTTGGATCAGGTAACATTTCATTTTTATTGCGATGCCGATGCTTTAGCACGAATGGGCTGGCTCAACTAGACTGCTACTGCACTTGCAAACTTTTTTTAATTTTGAATCATGTTATAACACTGTCCTTTTTCCATAGGTTCCAAGAACCGGGTCATCAGTTTGTTGACTTAGATGAAGAATACTTGCAGAATTTGAAGATCCTTCTAGGCAATGATGAGGAGAAGATTGCAGAGCTAAACCAGATTATCAAGAGTAAGAAAATAGTATTTATTATTTTTAAATTTAATGGTTCCTGAATTGTAAAATCTTATCTTTGTAAGACTTTTCTTGGTAAACTGATGACTCTTCACATGCTCAGATGCATGTCTTGGTTGATGATTGTTCACTAGTTCTCTGCTTCTGTTTCATGCGAATGTGTATTGGCGACGTCAATTGCTGACTCGTTTGCACCAGATTAAACAAAAATGAACCTACTTGATTTGATAAACGAAGATGATATATTTGTTTATATCAATCCCACAGAATACGAGACGTGTCTAGAAGATGAAGTAGAGGCAGCAGCTCGCGCAGACGAGGCGAGGCGGGCGGAGCGCCGCGAGGCCTTGCTGGGGGGGCTGCGGGCGCTCAAGGCGGCGCGCCGGGCCAACCGCGCGGACTACGACGCGCAGTGCACACTAAAAACTGACTACGTAGACGCCATCAAACAACTTGACACCGAGATTGAGAGAGCTACGTGAGTCTAATGTTCTGAACATTTCTTCGTTCTCTTGGTGCAAGCCACAATTATTGATCCTTGTGCCACCAAGTGTGGGGGAGCCAAGCTTCGACACGAATGGATCGACTCTACCAGAGTGTTATCACGGCCTCACAGAAAAGTGGCGTGAAACAATCGTGTGTTTCGCAGTCTGAGCGAGGTTACCGGAGACCCAATCCCATCCCCTTCTCCATCTCTTCCCAATTCTTAAATATCCCGTAGCACTCGTAATTCCTTTGGTGTTGCGGTTGTCAATGGGCGGCACCGATTGCTTACCTATTATACCTTAAAAGTGAATATCTTAAAACAAATTCATATTTGTTTTTTATAACAGTGCTGAGAGTCAGCAACTGAAACAAGAGTTGGAGTCCCAGCCGCTAAGTGTGGAACAACGCACCAAGTTACTGGATGAGGTCGACTACGCGCTGCGAGTGCAAGACTCCAAGCGGTCACTTGCTGAGCAGATTGGAAAGGTATTGTTTGCAAAAATCTATATAATGAATGATACCAATCAATGCTGGAATTGTACTCATTATATTTAGGCTTGCTTACACATACATAGATATTCTAACATTACTTACATTACACCAGTTTCTTGAAGTTTTTGTTTGCAACTATGTCAGAATGGTACAAGTGTATTGAAGAAAAGGGATTATATCTTAGAAATAGAAAAGTAAGAAAAATTTGGGTAGCGGTAGGTTTGGGACACCTACCTCCAGCCTCTAATAAGCCAGGTTCTACTTACTTTAAGATCTTTATCGACTTGTTATTCAAATCAACATTCTCATTTTCAGATGGTACTCACCAAAGAAACAGAGCTAGCCCTGTGGCAGAAGAAGACTCTGGATAGCTGTGTGGAGTACAAACAGGGACTGATACATCTCTCTGCACAGTTCCCCGACCTCGTGTCATTGGCTATTGACGAAAAGTGAGTTTACAGTAAAACTGTACAAGGTTTACAGTTTTCTCATAAGGTGGGAGGGAGGGATCATGCTTCGGCACGAATGGGTCGGCTCCGGAGTGATACGACGGTCTACAGAAAACTGGCTTGACACAACCACAACGTTGTGTTTTGCCATGTGAATGAGGTTCCGAACCGAAGGCCCAATCCTTTCCCTCCCCCAATCCCTAATCTCCAAAAGGTCGGCAACGCACTGGTAATTCCTCTGTTGCGGTTGTCCATGTGCAGCACCGCACTTGCGCGATTGCTTACCATACATATAAAAGAATTAGTGTTTTCTCGTGCACTTAAAAGAACGACTCGCGGAATTACTTTATTTTTAGATTACTAATTACTACACGACATGATACACATTTTATTATATGCGTCCAGTGGCGGTGTACGGCGGTAGCTTTATTTATCACTTGTAGTATTTTTGAGTTGCGCCTCGGTGCGGTTGACGAAATTGACCAATTTTACACAACAATTGTTTGAAATATTACAAGCCCATATATTGAAGACATTATTGCATAAGCTCCTCGAAATAGTACGAGAGACATGAGATAACTCTAATGTTATAATGTTGCAGGGAATTGATGAGTGCAGAATGCGCGGTGCGAGTGAGTTGTGGGTTGGAGGCCCTGAAAGTTCTAGCAACCAGTCTGGCGCAGCGCAGGCACCACCACGCTAGGGAGAAAACTGCACTCGCCAGGAAACGGGCTGCACTACTGGTCTGTATTGTCTATTTGCCTTCTACAATAATAAGGTTTAGTAATGAGTGTTTCAAAACATCTCGATTGAATTAGTAACTAAACTTAGTTCAGTTTAACACATCACATATGACAACATAAAACATGACTCATCACTTTTCAAATAGGAGAAGTTTATAATAAATAAAGTGATGTCAAATAGTCTCTAGGTAATTGAAAAGACGAAATGGTTTCTACAGAGGTGATAAACTAATGGAGTGCTAACACTATTTTTAATAAAAGAATATTAGTACTTACTAGGTTACTCCACAAATGTAACAACAACAAGAAAATCTATTCTATATTATAGGATGAAACTCGTGCCAAAATCCGTGAAATGAAGACAACAGTACAGCGGGAACAGGACATGTTGGACAGTGAGACAAGTAAGGAGGCAGATGACGTGGCCGCCACGGCTGCAGAGCTCAGGGAACTTAATGCAAGGATGGAGGAACTAAAGCTGCAGCAAGAAGAGTATAATAGAACTGAGAATGAACTACAGTTCTGGGAACAACAGAATGAGGCGTGAGTAAACTTAATTCTTTTTTAGTAACTCACGCGCGGTTTTACTTGCTGTACAGTTTCTATTAATCTTAGTGTATAAAATTTGATAGTGATTAGTCTTCCTCGATAATTAGACTATCTAATAAGAAAATATTTTTCAAATCAAAATAAAAGGAAGATGGAGATTTTAAGTCAGTCTGACTCCCTCTCGCCTCACCAAGAGCGTGAGAAGTTGTTTATGAGGCTTTGAATTATTAGATTACAGACTTACTGTTCTGTTTCGTATATACCAGGTGTTTGTGTAGGTTGGATATGTGTTATCGGATAAATTATTTTTGTTCTATGACAGTTGGCGTAGCAGACTCACAGCTCTACAAGAATATATCGAGGCGCAGCGCGCTGAATCCAAGCGAGTGTTGGAAGCTGCGCGAGAGAAGAGGGTCAAACTTGTTGTAAACAGCATACAACAGTGGAATGAAAAGCTAGCACAGTGACCTTGGGAAATAAATTTATGTTATTATACTAAGTTTTAAAAGTTTTGAAGCCATTTGCTGCCAATATACATGAAGTGTTATTTTTATATGCTACTTTATATCTAACGAATGGCCATACCTCTCTGGTAGAGGATAAAGCATTTTGAAAAGGAAAGTAGTTATCTTACTGAAATTCAATGTCAAACATGATGAAGTTACAATTGAAATTAGTGCAGTTAAATTTTGTAAATAATAACATTGTTAAAATTTAATTTAGTTATAGAACAAGAATGAGGCAGAATGTGTAATTAGGTTTATTATAATTGAATAAAACATACATTTTACTAACAGTCAAGTTTTTTATTTCACCTTTCATTAGAGATGACCATTGGAACATTATTTTCTACTGTTTCACATAATTGTTTGAATGATTGCTGCGCCCACGCATGTGTGTTTGATACCTTCTTGTTCTGATTTTCAACTTTCTTAGGAGGAGGTATTGCTGGCTTGAACGCCATCTCTGAGCCATCATATGCTTTGAATATTTGTGAGGGTGTCCTGAAAAATAAAATTTAATTTGACAAATCGAAATGTGGGAGAGCCAAGCTTACGCACGAATAATTCTGCTCGCTTAAAGCGATACCACGGCTCTATAGAAAGCCGGCCTAAAACAACCACAGCGTTGTGTTTCACTGTATGATTGAGGTTACGGGAAGCTAATCCTTGATGCGGCTTTTTTTTATAGGTAGTGTAACTGTAGAGAAAGTGTGGGAGAGCCATTCGGTACGAATGGGTCGGCTCGACCGGAGTGATACCACGGCCTCACACTTCACAGACAACCGGCGGGAAACAACCACAGTGTTATGTTTCGCCGTGTAACCTTACTCAGGTTACCGGAGGCCCAATTCTTTCGCTTGCCCAATCCTTAATCCTCAAAAGGACGAAAACGCACTCGTAACTCCTCTGTTGTTGAGGGTTTCCATGGGCGGCGCTGATTGCTTACCATCAGGTAATCAGTTTGCCCACCTATCACTTGAAAAAAGGTTTATGTGAAATAAAGTATCATTGCTACACAGAATATAAAGGTCATGGTAGTACTTACATTTTATTAAGTTCAGGTGGCAAGGATCCCTTCAAGAGCAGTGTCGCCGCGCTCCTAACAGTAGGATGGTAGTGGCGCGCTAGCACGCACAGTTCGTGCAGGCCGGCCGCGTGCGCGTTGCAGTGCTCCGGGGAAGGCAGCGTGGGGTCGAACCGACCCGACCCACCCGCCTCGCTGTCCGCTTCCAAGAGGGTTGATACTGCTTTACTTTGCTGTTGATAATAATGTTGGGTTGAGTTTTAGGGATATGAAGATATGAGCAGAAAAGTATTTGGGAAATTATGTTTTAAAATTAAGTCATTTAAAAACAGAGAAATTATGTTTTAAAATTAATTTAAAAACATAAACAATTGAATATCTTTTAGACTTCTCTTTGTTTAAAGGGTTCTTAGGTTTATGTGAGACTGACAAATAGATCAGTTACAGAAATGAAATAGTTTGTATTTGTTTTACCTGAGCCAGATGATGTAACAGTGCGATACAGGCGAGTGCCCCGTGATGCTGTAACTGTGTTGCCAGTGTCGCCACTCGCTTGGCGAAGGCTTGCAACACTGCGGCGGACACGCGACGTGCGCGCGCGCAGATTTGAGATACTGACTCTAGGATAATCTTGGAGTCTGGTTGTGATCTTCCTGCAAAGGGTATTGGAAAACGTTATCTATGTACCCCTAGATATAGAGGCCTTTGTTCAAAGTCTGTCTGTAGGTATAATTATATTGTGCTGTTAGAATCACTTTAGAGTTGTAGAACCACTATAGAGTAAATTATTTGAACACTGATAAAAGTAAATAACAATTAAAAATAATATTAGGTTACCTGGGTCAAAAATAAATGAATTCGACATTTCAATACAATAAAATATTGAAGCATAACTATACTTTTATTAATGATCTGTAAACACATAACATTTTCGATATTGTTTAGCTAATTTTTAAGAAAAAGTAAGCTGTTTGAGGCAAATATACTATGACATGATTTGAAGTGCCATACAAATCACATAGAAAAGTATTAGTCTCTGACATTTGGAAACGACCCTAACGATTTCGCTGAAATTTGATATGTAAGGGTTTTCGGGGAGGGGCCGCTAGCATTAGTCTAATTATAGACGTAGTACAATAGTTACCAGCATGAGAATTGAGCATGCAGACGTATAGGTAGGCGTGGAACTTGGCGGGGTCGACGTTGAGCGCGTCCCCGGCGCCGGCGAGCACGGCGAGCACGGTGCGCACGCACAGAAGTCGCTCGCGCGCACCGATCAGCTCGTCCGATATCAGGCGCGCCAGGATCGCCACCAGGTCCGAGTAGTATTCCAAGTTTATTACGTGGGTGAACCTGGAAGATAAATGTTTGGGTTACAAATGAAAAAGAACCATGCCTGGGCACGAATGTGTTAGCTCGACCAAAGTGATACCACGGTTCCAAAGAAAACCGGCGTGAAATAACGACAGCGTTGTATTTCGCCGTGTGGGTGAGGTTACCAGAGGCTTAATTCATCCATCCTAAAATCCTCCGAAACCCTAATTTCCAAAAGTCCGGAAACACACTCATTACTCCTCTTATGTTTCGGGTGTCCATGGGCGGCATCGATTGCTTAACATCAGATAATACGTCTGGTCACTTGGCGACCTATCACGTAAAAAACTGCTAATATATTCCACATTCTTACTGCATATAATTAATTAATCGAGGTAAGTATCAGATTTTTGGTGAATTTGCAAGCCGATGAAGATGAGATGATGATGATGAGAAACACAAGTGTGGATACCACACTTACAATTTCCTTCATTACAAAAAAAAAACACATCAATCACACATTGGCAACTACTGACAAAAAACTCTATGAAAAAATTACATTTATTATTTTATTTGGAAAATACTTGATAAACTTACTTGGCGAGTCCATTAAGCGCAGCAGCTAACAGTTTAGACCGCGGCGCGGTCTTCAGCAACCGGAAGTAGATATGGAAGACAGTTTTAGTGACCTCAGTCATCTGTTTCCGGCGCGCCATCTCACTCTCCTGCGCCTGCGTCTCTAGTAACTCGCGCTCCACTTCTTTCAACTTCTTCGCTCGCTGTAAATAGATAGATTTGATTTAATATCATTTAATATTAACTGGAATTTAAGTATTTTATAAAAATAGCTGCTTTGTAATAAAAATGATGTGTAATCTTACACAAAATTCATTTACACGAAAATTTCGAAAAAAATTAAGATTTATTATCCGAGCGAGAGCAGGGTTAAAAGAATAGTAGTTTATAAAATCACAAATCGATTTTTGAGGCCTTCGTCGCCTGCCGGGAACTCCCCCTGGCAGGCGATCGACTATTTCCTACTTTGGGAAAGACTGCAGCTAGACTAGTTTAACAATATTATTTTGTAATTGTTGTGTGAAAATTTAAATGTGAGTGTTCAAAAAACATCTTTATAATATCCATACCTTTTTTTCCTTCTTAGACAAGTTAACAATTCGCTTCTTGTGTTTCTCTTCTTGTTTCTTCTTATTCTTGATCTCTGCTTCCGCGTCCATATCGATGTCTCGTATTTTGAGGGTGAGCAGACAGTCCAGGGCCGAGGGATCCAAGCGTTCATTGCGACGTTTAACTAACTGGTTTATTAGACGTACTATCTGTGGATTGATAGGTATAAATGTATATAAATTCATTTAGTTGAGTTTCTAGTTTGTAGCTTGATATCTAAGACAAGTCTAAAATTGTTATTTGGCCATGGACAAACACAGGAAATAAAATTATGGGGCTATTTAAATATATTAAGACTGTACCCACTAAAACTGTTGAAGCCAAATCCTCCGCTAGCATTATTCAACATTGACTGCATTGGCAGTGAATGGGTTAACTACAATTCCATAATAAATATTCGGTATCATCGTACATTGGAATAGTATAAGAGAGCTATAGCGCCTTCCTAATCTATCAAACAGTCATAACAGACACAAGCAATATAACGGCTATTTTTTGTAGTCCACTGAATCTTAAAGCAGTATGTAACATTTACAAAAATAATGTAAACTTACAATAAGAGTAATGTCTCCTTTGTTATCCTCAGCAAAAACGTTGGTACAGCATTCGGTGACAGTGCTCCTTGCCCTGTCATCCTTGCAGTCGAGGTGGGGAATGACGCTCTGCGCAATGTTGGTCGCGTAGTTGAAGTGAGGCCGCGCCACCAACAGGCCACACATACAGCGCAAGGAGACCAGGGCTAGGTTCATTGTGTGCTCGTCCACTTTTCTGGGAAAACAATTTTAAAATAAGTATTTATTATTATTTTCATGTTTTAATATTGTGAAACACTTTGATTGGTATTTTTCTGCAAATATTATATTCTCTTTTTAGGCGGGCAACATTAATAAATTTTAGTAGCCGCAACAACGGTTACGATTGCGTTGCTGACCTTTAGAAATTAGGGTTCTAAAGATTTCGGGATTGGAAGAGGGGAAGCACTGACTCACACGGCAAAGCACAACGCCAGTTTTTTTTGAAGCCGTGAAATATAATGGAATTGCTCAATTTTGTACACATTTAACTCACCAAGGTATTAATTAACATTAAAGCATATGAAACACGTTTTTTAAGTCATGCATGCTACTCTTAGCATGCAACCTTAATATGTTTACATCAAACCTGTTGATGGGAAGGTAAAAAGATTACTTTTTGCAGTAACAATAAAAGGTGGCAGGAGGAAATAAAGCACTTCAAATACCTTGTATCTCCCTTCTTTCGACGCAGCACCCCCGCAGCTTTCTCCAACCTTTGCAGGTATCGTTTGTAGAACTCTAGGAGCTCCTTCTCGTATTTATACAGCGCCAGTGTGTCTTTCTTTACTGCAAAATTACAATTAAATCACATACATAGTATAAAACAATGTCTCTTTCTCAGTCCCTATATCCCTATGTACGGCTAAATTAAATCTTTAAAACTACGTAACGAATTTTGATGCGGTTTTATTAATAGATAGTGTGATTAAATAGGAAGGTTTATATGGGTAATAAAATTAATTAAATAGTGGACATACATATAATTTAGAATTTGCTCATTAGAAAGTAAGAAAAAAGAAATTGTTGCTATCGAGAGAAGTTACTAATATTTTACGATTTTAAAGTTTCAATTTCGAGTGCAGTTCGCAAACAAAGCCTTTTAGTGATGTTCATATTAGACGAGACGAAGATTTAATGCTTTACTTGGCATTGAGAGAATCTCGAAAGTTATTTGTTTTCCAAATTCGAAAGACGGTTTAACTGACACATAGACATATAAGAATAAAGAAAATTTTTAATAAATACTTACATTTGATATTAGAGTAATCCTGATGCCTTATCATGTACTCAGGTAGAATATCCTTAAACACTTCGAATGCAGATACGGTAGCGAGTTTGCGCACAGAAACCAGGTTCAATGACCCATCCTTCAGGCGATCTTCCATTAGGTAGAGGATTGGATACAAATTTTTGAGCTGTAAATAGGTTTTGTGTTAGGTGTTTTATGCTGGTTGGTAGGTTTTAGTTATATTCTATTGTATTATTGCACAACATTGAACTAATATTACATCACGTATTTAACTAGAAATGATTTAAAATATGTACTTGTTGTCTGGGTATCTGTTTGTGTGTGTAGTTCCTGTTTTTTATTTTTGAATTATCTCAGGTGGCAAACTAGGAAGTAAAAGAAAGTGAACACAGATTGCTGAGATTGATAAATAACAACTCATAAATCGAAAATTTTACACCTCAACTTCTCGATAATTTTTGAATAAAATAGTTGTATTTGTATTTAATAATAACAAACAAAATCTTATAACAACATACCTTCTTCTCAGGATTTTCTAGCAGTGAAGAGCACAGAGCTCCAATCCTCAATTTATCATGCTGCAGCTTGTTTCTCCGAGCTGCCAATAGCTCTACAGCTGTTACCACCTTCTCCTCATCAGCAGGCATCTCCACATCGTCTGTGCCCTCCATGCCGGAGTCAGATTCTGAGCCCTCATCCTCTGATTGCTTCTGTGTTTGTTTACTTTTAGCAGATTTATCTTCTTCCTGTTCTTGTTCTGATTCTGAATCTGTTGAGAAATTAATCTTTGCAATCATGGGAATCCGAGACACAATAGTAAGACAATATTATAGGTGTGTGAATTTGTGTGTTCACTTGGGGTTTGATAAATTAAAAAGACCTTCGTTAAGAAAAATGGAACATGTAAAGGTAAAACTCAAGGTAAAATAATGTTAGATTGATATCATGAGCCTAGAATCCAGCAGTGGAGTGGCTGTTGTTAGTAAGGGGATTACAAGCATGCAAGTTCATTTTATTATTGTACTGCATTTATACTATTTTAGGACAGTTTGGATATAATCCAAACTAATATTATAAATGCAAAGGTAACTCAGTCCGTCTGTCTTTTCTTTACGCCTAAACTACTGACGCTATTAGACTGAAATTTGGAACAGACATTGGAACTAGAGAAAGGACACAGGATACTTTTTAAAACAAAAAACTGCAGGAAGTCACTATTCCACACAAACAAAGTTGTGTGCAAAAGATAGTTATTTATAGACAAAAGCTTTATTAGCTGTGCAAATAAGAATATGTAGTGTCTTGAAACTATGTGACTTCTCTCAATGAATTCATGTGAATACATAGCTTTTGTGATAAATTTAGTAATATTAATTATACAAGAAAATAATACCTATTAATAAATTACCTTCATACTCCTCAGCTCGCTCCATTAACCCCTCTTTAGTCTTAATAGGTAACAGCAGCCTCATCTTCTTAGCTGGCCTCTCAGCTTGCTCCTTTTCATACCTGCCCTCCACATCGCTGTCAGAGTCAGACAGTTCAGCACTCTCAGCGCCACTGTCACTTCCACCTACAGTTGGCTTTGGGAATTTCTCCTTCTTTTCTCTCTTGCGCTTTCTTGATCTGGAATTGGGTAAATTATGAATTCTTTAAATGTTTCAATTTCTTGTGTATGTAACCATTCCCAAAGATAACTAAAATATGGTATTTGAATAGTAATTAAACTATATATAACACTATTCAAAGATGATTAAAGATGGTGAAATACGTTTAAAAATATGTTATAGTACTTTAATAGTGAACCTTTTGCCTGGCTTTTCATTTTCAGGTATGTTTGCTAGTAAAGTAGGCTGTTTTGACAGTCTGCTCATGAGATACTGCTGCTCCTCGTCGTCTAACATATCTCCGAACTGATCTTCCGATTCCGCTTCACTTTCGCTGCTGTATTCTACCGTCGGCTGCTGAGCTGGTTGCTTCTGCTTCTGTACGTGCGTTCTGTGTCTCTGCAGCTTCAGCTGACCCTTCTTCCGCATTTTATTCGTAGTTTGATTGTTCCTTTTCACCTTACTAATCTTTATTTTGCCTTTTTTCTGTAATAAAAACATGTTTTTTTTATAATTCACAATGAGTTTTGGTTAGGAACGTGTTTATTTAATTTACACAAAGAATGTTAGGGTAAACTTGATTGGTATTATGAAAAGATACTTACAGCCATTTTTGAAGTTTGTAGTAATAACTTTTAAACAGTAATATTCAGTTAATAAATACTTTCTCAGAACAAAAATAACAAACCAACGTGGGTTATTTATTTGACAGTTTTTTGACAATACACTTTGTACAAAGGGTTGCAAGTATAACAAATTAATGACAGCTGAGAGTTGTCAACAGAAAAATACACTTCACACTCATTGTTTGCATTTTAGATGAGGCTAATCTATTTAATACCTACGTGCTTTAACTTTATTATAGTATTTTATTACTGAATACACAAACAGTATACTATAAGTTGCAAAGTATTACTTGTGCCCCTACAGATTTATGAAAACTTAAAAGTTTAGCAAAAAGTTCTCAAAAGTTTTGAAAGTTTGGAACGCATTCAAACTTTCTAAATGTCAGTTACAAAAGGCCTCGAAACTTTCAGATTTCTCGTTTTTCTAGTTTTCTAAAATAAAACTTTGCTTTTAACGAACTTTATTATTATTTTCCTTTAATACCATTATTGTGTTGATCGATAAAAAACCGAAATGAGTTTGTTTCTGTGAAAATAAAAGTTTGTGAAGTTATTGTGATGGTGCCTCAGCAACAACGGAGAAGACGTCGCCGTGCGGCTCTGGCTCGGACAGCTGAGCGGCGTGTTGTTGTGGCGCGAGGAGCTGGAGGCTTCGGCTTTACGATAGCGGGGCAGCGACCCTGCGTGGTATCAGCTGTGGCTGCTGGCGGGCCGGCAGAGCGCGCTGGTCTACGCGCAGGGGATGCGTTGTTGGCTGTTGATGGGGCTAGTGTGGCTAGAGCTCCACACGCTTCCGTGGCTCGTATGGTGGCTGCTGCACCAGGAGCGATAGCTCTGTCAGTGTCTCCTCGTGAGGCACCACCTACTGACACTGAGGATACAGAGCCAGACGAGCGAGCGAGGACTAGGAGGCGACATCCTCCGCCTCGTCGTCGCCCTCAAGCTATGCTGCACCACCCTGGTATGTCAAAAATTGTTTTAAACAATGTAGTATTTATTTACTAAGTTTGTTATTTAAGTTTAAAATAAGTTGATGAACTGGGCTAACAGTAATTTTATTTCTTTTAACTTTGTTGCCAATTGTTGTGGTGGGAAATTAGTATTATTTCTTATTTAGCTTTGCTAAGGTGATAGATTATAATAACAACTCAAAATTAAAAAGCATTATTAATTTTAACATGTTGAAGGAAATTATTATGGTACTAAATAAATGTTATTTGATGTTATCAAATATTTCTACAACAATTTATACGAAAAGTTTTTCCATTATACTTAATAAAAAAAAAAATAATAACATTCCCTCAGTGTGAACAAAAACTCTTTTATTTCATCCCCCAACAACAACATAATTTGAAAACATTATATGATGTACTATATATTCTTTTTGCAGATGGATAGACAACAGTTGACAATAATTATGTGAGTGTGTTACAAATAGTTCCCACTGTCAATGTTGTGTGTAGCTTGCACCTGCACTGAAATGTGATGACACTCACACACTCTTACTTGCATTATGATCTTTATTCTCTTTTCTCATAACACATTTGCTAAAAACTACATTAACATGTTTACTAAGGCATGAAAAGATTGACAGATGTTGAAGAAATGAAAGATGTTTGTTAGAATTGCATTATTTGGTGTTCAATGTTATTTCTGCCTTCCCCGATAGGAAATGACTATTATGAAGATGTGTATGTATGTAAGATTGCAATGGTTTATGTTGATGAATGTTAGTGGATGGTCTGCCTCTAGTGTCCTATGGGTAGTAGGTAGTAGATAAACAAGCTTTAACACCAAAGGACTTATGAGATGAAATTTACAAAAAGAGTATAATAAGGTACAAAGGTGGCATATTATTACCACTAAAAGTAAGGTAGATTCCTACCATGAAACCTTGAGGTGGATGAAGTAGTGCAGTGTTAGGTCAATCTTAGTAAACTAAAAAGTTTACTGTTTCATGCTTTATGCTGCTAATCAGGGCATTTCATGTCTTTAATTATGCGATTTGTACATTACATTTTTTGCCTTGCCAATGCTTCTTTTTTAACATAACTTACTGGGTTGGCATGTACTTATTTGGTAATTTTCATTACAAATAAAATTCAGGAAAAAAGATAAGAATACTTGTAGGAACCTTCTTCTTTTCTGAATCCTACCCTACATCATATTAATACTAATGCTATTATTGACTTGCACTGCAAATAGAAATTACTAGTATCATAAAAATACCTATGCACACTTTTTTATTTATGTATAACATTTTTTTTTTATTATCTATGAGGGAGAAAAGCTATTTATAAAACATGTTTGGTTTAATTGCTTCTCTGATAATAAAAACTAACAATGCATGTGAATCTTTATTCTCTCTCTTATTGTATTCATATTCATAGACTGCTATAAAATTATTGTACCACTATTACTGCATAAATGTCACTTGCTCATCATAAAACAACAGTATACTTTATTTTTAACTTGTGAGAAAAATATTTAGTATCATATTCTTGTGTAATAACTATTGTGAGACATACTGAAATTATTTAAATAACAACTTATGTGAATTAACTGAGGAAAGCTCTACTAACTGGTTTCTTGACATAGCAGAAGTCATATTCATGAGCAGTGTGCGAATCGCAATGTCTTGCTGCTTTTCTTAGGTAATTCATGTTAGTCGAAATTTCGCCTAGAATTTGTAGGTATACTTATTATTGCTCTTTTTAATTTTTCCAGGATGTCACGCAGCACCCAGTACATCAGGCGTTAACGAAATACTTCAGAACTTGAGCAGGGCCCAGCTGACTCCCAACCATGCAGCCAGGCTCGAGTGTCGTGCCGTCGTCGGCTACCTGGGCACCATAGAAACTCCTCAAGCTGCACCAAATGCTGCCCCTGGGAATGTACGAACAGCAGTTAGAAAACTTCGACAAGAGAGGCGTCCTGCTACTCCTGTACTATTGTCAGTTCTTCCAAACTCCTTAGTTCTTCGTCGCCCGACGGGCCAAGTGTTAGCACAATATCAACGTGAAAGAATTGTATACGCGGGCTGTGGTTCCGATGCTGATAGAAGGTACTTCGGCCTGGTAACGTCAGCTGAAACTGCAGAGGCCGAAGCCTCGCACAGCTGTCACGTGTTTGCAGTAGATCCCAGAATGGCAGAGCACGAGGCACATATGGCCAGAGCTAGAGAATTCCAAATCGTATGCACCAGGGACCCAGTAGCTGAAAGATGTCTGGAATTTCCACCTTCGGCAGAGTACGTTATTGGTGTGATTAGAGGAATGTACTCTTTGCCAGCAGAGGACTGCTCGAGTCCCAATTTGGCGCAAATCTCCAAACTTACGATAAAAGGAGATAGCCCTGCGCTTGGCAACTTTTCAAGGTGTAACAGACCAGTGTTCCGCGTACCTCGAGACAGACGGCCGCCGTGCAGACACGAGGAGAGAGTCGAGGCTCAGGACTTTGTAGCAAACTCTCCTCAGCCGAGCAACCACAGCGAAGTGACTACCACATCGAGTAACAGCGACTCTGGTATCGGTTTCCACAACGACTGTCGGAACATTGCCGACAGAATTTTGGTCGTTGATTTCGCTGGACAGCAACCGGCACCAAACAGATTTCGGCAAGACATGCCCCGACGGCCAATGGGGCTGGTCGGCTGCAGTAGTTTCGAAGCTGATGGGTCGTTCCTATCAAACACGACCCCTGTTGTAGATGGTTTTGGAGGTCAAGGGAGACCTTTAAACCTGGACGATGTTATCCTCAACGCAAATGACCTTCAAACCGTTCGTCACGTGAGTCCCCGGAACGAAGACGATAACTATAACTATAACAATCTATATGGCAATATCCCTTCCAGTTCTCGAGGAAACCCAGGCTATGCGAACGGAGCAGTTTATGATCAAGTATACACTGAGACGGAAGGTCACCACTACGAGTTCATACCGCCACAATTAGATATGGACTTGGAAATAGATAGAGTGGCAGAAACATTCAATTCAGTGGAGATTTATGAAGAGAGGCCTCGACAGCCTCCAGAGTGGCAGTCGGCGGAGTCAGTGGAGAATGAGACGGTGGTATCTGGCGAGACAAGTAAGGCTAGTATGGACACTGTCTCCATGTACTCCTCCAGATCTCACGAGGAAGCCAGGCCATCTCGCAGAAGGCACATGCAAGCGTCCCTTGATGATATGCTGGTGTTGGGACTAAGAGATCCACCTCCTGTGAGAGACAAGGATGATGATAATTTCGTACATCCTGCTAGTGTCAAATTCAAGGTGAGAAGTTCTACAGATTTTCCTTTTTTTAAGCTATGATGTTTTCGCTTTACAGTCTTTTAATAGTGTGGAATGTAATAGTTTAAGTATCAATCATAAAAAGAACAGTACCATAACTACGTATTTGCAAAACCTTCAGGATGTTATGGGCCTTTGTTATGAAATAGCTATAAATATTGTTTGTTGTATTTTACAATAATATCTCATTTGATTGGTCACGTAAATATAACATCATCATTGTTGCTATCAAGAATCCATAGATGGCGTTACGTATGACTAAATTCAGAAGCTACTATAGTCATTTAAAGATTCGTTTAGTTTATCGAAGTTTCTTTTAATTATGTTTAAGTATTTTGCTAAACTTGAATCCTTGAGTCAAATTTGCTATTCGTTTTTACTAGGCGCCTCCTATTTTGTTCAGGAGATATTGTATGAAAGTGTGTCTTCCAAATTTGATATTTGGTTAAGTTACTTCACATAATTAATCTTTTTCCCGCAGGTACGCAAATCAATGAAGCCATTAAACATAATATCGAAGACGAAGAACATTTTATCGGGCAAGGATCGGGAACGGGAGAAGGAGGAGCGGCGACGGGCGCTGAGCGCTAGTGCGGGCGACGTTTGTGGAGCTAGTCGACAGCCTGACGTACTGCCTGCTGCTAACAGCGAGCCAGATTTGAGGGGACAGGTATGTGATAGCTTAACTTTTTTATAGGAATGGATCGAGACAAGGATGATTTTTATACTAAAAAGCCCTGCCCTGCAACCGTAGCATTAGTATGCCAGATATCAAAAGGGTTATAAAAATACCTGACCTTCTTCTAAGGACCTTCTCGAAGTTGTTTATTAAAATTGTGTCTCTTTGGCCATGTTTGACTATTGTATATAGGAGTGGTTTTTAAGGACTAGAGACTTTAATTACACTAATCCTTATACTGCTGTATTCGGAAATAGTCAATTATAACTTGAAACTTTTCTTTGGTAACGATATTGTCCCAAAGACAGAAGCCATGGACTCACTCTTATGTGTAAAAATTATAATACTAGGCACGGGGTCATATCCTTGAATTCATCATTCAAGCGGACGTAAATAAAATGCTTTAAAAATGTAACTATTAACTTCCATAAATAAAGCATTTCACGTATTATAAAGCAATTTGATATGACTTTAAGTCGTCACGTTAAGTGTCGACAACTTAGAATAACTAATGAACGTCTAAAGACGTTCTGACGGTTTGGCGCCACTATTATATTTTTACTTACATCCGGGCTAATGGCTCGTGTACTATTGAACACAACTGCATACTAATTATTTAGTCGTTTCTAGTTCTTATAAAGGGCTGTTGAATTCAAAAAATGTGCGTGGTTGAATTTTTTATTGGGAATTAATATTGAGATTACTTTTACCTAACAATTTGGATTGTTAAATGTAATTGTGACATGGGGCTAGAGAAATGAAACAAACGCTGTGTGATGATTTTCGCGTTAATAAAATCAACAAACTTCAGGTTTAGAAGATAAGTAGGTATATATACGCCAGAACCGTATTTCTCTTGAATTTATCATTGATTATGTGGTATTAGTTTAAATTAATAAGAAAAAATATTTTAATACTAATGCCAATAACTAGTACTATGTAAGCGATAATTTTGATGTTATCAAACATTGAATTCCGAGTAATGGAGTACCGGAGCGGCTTGAATCAATACATTCTTTACTAATGTCGTCCGCCAATTCTATGAATGGCCGCCCATTCATAAGCGGCCAACATTCTTGGCTTATCGACGCTACAACCTTCGTACACTTGCCGCTGCGACTTATTTGTCGCAGCGACATGCGACAACGAGGATTTATAGTTGAATATTTTTTTTATACTAATTTAGGTTTTATTATTAGACTACATGTAGTAAATCGTATCTTATATAGTATCTTTATATAAGTTTTGTTAGAAAACAATATTCTTTCAAGGGAAGTACAGTGACATTATTTTGCAAATAGGTAATAATGTTTTGATTCTGAATCTCATATAGGGATACCTGGTCTCTTTCAATAAAACTTTTTAACTAGATTGCCCGTGTTATTATATTTTTAAATTCATCTGTATTGATTTTAAAAACAAATATGAAAATATACCTTAAGTCTTGAAGTCGCAAGTGTGTGTCGACTGTTTTCTATATAAACATGCGTTGATGAATGCTCTTGTACATACTTATCTATATAAATACTTTCGGTGCTACGTTGTAGTGTGTACAATTATACACACTACACATTACTAAACGTACACATACATGCGTTGCCAACACACAGATATGTGTAAGAAGTATAAGAAAGCATTTAAATAGGCATTTCAACAGGAAATGTATGCTATGTTGTGCTGTTTCCTCTCGTAATTTTTTGAAGAGCTATCTCGATTCCTTTCAAGCATTGCCGGGGATCTTACGCTCTGTTGCAAACGATAAAAGTGGCTAAGTAAATTATGTGTGCCCTTTACTCTAGTTATCTAAAGTTCCAACAACTGAAATTACCATCCCTTCTATCTTCTGTATTTCAGCTGAGGTTGTGGGTAATAACATACCGCGGTTCAGGTCTGGAGCAGGAGAAGGAACGGGGTGTTTTTTAGTCAGAAAGAGTTTGATACTCCCTTACGCCGCAAGAGAAATCATTTGATGATTCTAACCGCGCAAAAAAGATCTTTCTACTTATATTTATCTGGATTTTCATCAGTCTTCCATGAAGTATAGATGATCCATTAATTCATCATACCCCAAGAAAACACCGGCGTTCGCGCACCTATTTTGTCTCGAATTACGATTGAAATGTCAAATATGAGATGTTTGCAACAATAAAAATACTTTCTGTACTTATTTAATCTTCTGCCATTTCTGTCGCGTGTGCAGAGATGCGCCGGCGCCGATGTACCGCGGTCAGCGAGCCCGCGCCGCTAATTTAGACGTAATTGACCGACGTGATGCCAGCTCACATACGAAGCGAATGAATCGAACATTTACACAGCTTGGGGTACTTTTAAAAATAAATTGTTGAGGGAAATAAAATATTATAAATTTATAGACATTTCGACTGCACAGTTGACCCGGGGACTGGGTAGCTGTATTAAAAAAATTGAAATAGATCTTTACTTACGCACCATATTAATTATTTTTATTAATTATTATTAAGTTTAAGAGTTAGTTTGTATAATAGCGCTTATGTCCAGAACAACTGATTCGAATTGATCAATTATTTTTGTGTTAGATAGCCAAATTATCACTGAATGTGTCCCGTAAAACACCATGCTACGAACAATAAGAGCAGATAGTAAAATGTATAATTATATGTTATATCTTTCATCTTTGATGCCATTTTGATACTAGGATATACATTCCTATGTGCACACCACCCAGTGACGTTTTAATAATATTAATAAACAAACAAAAGAAAACGCTACATACAATATTCCGTTTGTGACGTATCTTTCAAAGAAAAACAGTTGTAAAAAATGCGTTTTATTAACGAAATGAATTCTAGTCATATTTTGAAGTATTTGATGCGTTTATGGGGTATGTTGACGATCGCATCCTGCAGGAATGACTTACGTATTAGACGTTTTTACAAAGTTTTCTGAGGATGTTTTTTTTAATTTGAGTTGTTTTGCTTGTTGTCTCGAAAAACCTTACGGAGATTTAAGAAAATCAGTACATACCTACCTACATCTTCTCAGAAAATGATACTGATACCAGGTTTTCTTTAAATACCAGCTTTTAGGCATTTTTCTTTTTTGTTTCCTTGCAAATCACCTCAAGAGTCTCATCTCGTTCAGTGTTGGACATACATCGGCCTTTTCACTTGCACGCCACTGAGCACGATCTTCAGCTCTTCGGATATCGTCAGTCCACCTAGCTGAAGGTCGTACGGCGCGTAACGTATCGCGCGCTTCAAAGAGCCAATAGACCACCACAGACGGGGCCCTATAGGGCTGAGGTTCAGCCGGGGTTGCAGGGTAAACGCAATGAGACACCGCGACCTCGACCCAGAGCAGGAGAAGGAACAGGGGGGTTTTTAGTCAGTAAGAGTCTGACTCTCCCTCCCGCCCGGCTCTGGGCGGGAGAAGTCATTTAAAGATTTTGCCCTCACAAAAAAAACCTAGCTGAACGTCCAAACTTTGATATCAAAACTATTTACATGTGGTTCCAGAAGTCATCAATCAACATCTATCTATATATTTCGTGCGAGAATCCGAACGGAAGTTCTAAATCCTGTACCAAATACTTTTTTAAGATAAATGTAGTAAGATGTCACGTGTCACGATACGCAACGCGTTCAGTTCCTGAACTAGTGGAATGTGACGTCACTTGACGCGTATCGGCGAACTTCAATGGCGGAGTACGAAAATAAAATAAATTCGTGAATGGAGGGATTATATTGTTGTTAGCTAGGCTTAGGGGCTTACTGTTATCGTTTTTTTAAAGATTGTGACGTATGTGTGATTTAAAAATACTTGCTGTTTTGTTTTCATTCAAGGTTTCCACTTTTGAAATGGCTTCAGTTTAGATACTTACTGTTATTTGAGCCCAGTCTTAGAAGTGCTAGTTGGTTGCCCTGAACTTTTGTATGTTTTTTTTTATGGAGTAGAAGGCAAACGAGCAGACGGATTACCCGATGGTAAGTGATCAGCGCCGCCCATGAACACCTGCAACACCAGAGAAGTGACAGAAGTCACCAGAGAAGGTGGTTTGCCGGCCTTCTAAGAAGTAGTACGCTTGTGTCCTGAAAGTTTGACCCGGTATCGGATCGGGAATTCCTCCGAAGATCATTCCAAAGTTGTATTGTTCGTTATGGTGTTGTATAAGTTTTTCATTGGTGTAATTCTCATTATGATGAATTAGGATTCTAAAAATCCTTGTTTATATTTTTGTTTATCCTTTTTCAGTAAGTAGCAGTCTTTGTTTGATGTTGAGATTTATTTTAGACTCGTTAACTGTCAGTGGTTTTACCCGCAGTTCCGATGTAAACAGTAGCCTATGTGATATTTTAGACTATGATCTACATCTGTACCAAATTTCATTCCTATCTGTTCAGTACTTTTAACGTGAAAAAGTAACCAACATTATAATATAGTAGTACTAGTAGGATCATATTAGTAATTAAACTTGTTTCCCTTCCGCTCTGCAAAATAGATAAAAGATAATACCTATTATATTTAAAATTTCGTGATATGACGATGTTGTGTTAAGCTTAGCCTAAAGCGATATAAAAATAGATACATTTTGAATGAAGGGATCAACTCAGAAGATAGTATTATCTGTGAGGCAAATCTTTATATTTGTGTTGCGCATTTTTATTAAGTTATCATCGGTATTTGTGTATACGTGACAAATAATATGGAATTCTTTCACAAAGCGACACAAAGTCAGGTAAGTTTTTCGTCAAAATTAATTTGCAAATATGTACAGATTGTACGTTTAAGTTAGCAATCAATATTATTTAGTGTTATGGTAAACGATTTGTTGTGTTAAAAGTCCGAAGTTCGAAGTTTTCGAATTCAATTTACGGAAGTCAATAGTGTTATGAGGAAATCGTTTCGGAAAATTGTTAAAATTTGGTTTGAGATGTTTTTTTAAGGTCGGCAAACGAGCAGACCTATTACCTGGTGGTGCTGGTGAGCAATCAGCGCCGCCCATGGACACTAGTTATACCAAAGGAGTGCATTTCCGGCCTCTTTTGGGTTACTAGGGATTTGAGGATGGAGAGGGAGAAACATTGGGCCTCTGGTAACCTCACTCACACGGAAACACAATGTTAGTGTTGCTTCACGCCGGTATTCTGTGAGGCCGTGGTATTATTCCAGTCGAACCGGTCCATTCGTTCCGAAGCATGAGTCTCCCATACAATGTCCAATGTTTGCTTTGGACACGCTGTGTTTTTATCTTCATCAGCCTGATTCTGTCCACTGCTGGACTGGAGGTGTCCCCAATTTCACACCACTGAGCTCGATGTTCATTCAGCTCTTCTCATCCAACCACTGCCAACATCGTTAGATATATCGCAGTCAAATAGTTGAATTTTGCCATCCAATCAACGGCTTGATAGACTAGTCAGGCTGTAAGTTGAAAGGCTACCAGAGTGCTAGGTTAGGTTATGTTAGAACTATAAACCGCACAGAAACCATCGCAAATAAACAGCTACTGAAATTGTACTGCGTTTAAAAGGGTAGCTGATTGATCGAATTGCTATTTTAACTATTTCGTTGCGACAGATACATCGTTCAATTTCTACGTGATCCAAGCGTTCTTTCATAGCTTCGATGATTTTCTCTGTTATATCAGTTACAAGCTAGCATGCTTGTAACTGATATAGAAACTTCTAGTCAGTTTCCTTTTTAAATTTATTATAATATAGGTATATTTATAGCTTCAGTCAGATCAATTTAAGTTTTTGCTATATGGGCAAATCCGCGTGACTATTAGGTACCTTAATGCCATTGCTCACACCTTAAAACCTAACTCATTAAAATGACTCAGAAAGAGAGAGAGGGGACAAAGTCATGCCCTCTTATGTTTATGTAGATCTTAATATCAAGAGCATAAGGTTTGAAATGTAAATCAGGGCCGTCGGATTTAAGTACGAGATGTAGTGAGAATTAGTTTTGAAGAGGTGTTTATTGTTTGTATTAGTGTAAACTCGATAGGCACGAAGTGTATCACGTGGATCCTCATTAGTGTTTCATCACACGTCACGTTGGGTGACATGATTGATATTGTGGCTTTGGAGGCATTGCTTCTGACTTTCAAGTGGTTGGAATTGGAATCTGACTGCACGGTTCACGCGGTGGCTGGGCAACTGCTTGCCGTGCAATGTGTTGGGGGATTCCCGCACGGAACAACTATGTTTGTGATCAAAAAATTGTTGCTTACTGTCTAGGTGTGATGTGTATTTGAAATTAATTGTTTGGAAAATTTAACGATGAGAAATTGATCCAATTGTTTATTTTTTTGTCAATTTGTTCTCCTTATGGATTTTACAGTATTCAAAAATGTATTGGTGAACCTGTAAAACCTATACATGTTTAACTATTGAGGTTTTTGCTTGTTGCTCGTTCTTGGAACGAGCACCTAGCTTCACCGGTGAACTAATTGCCAGACTTATTCTATTTTGACATTTAAAAAGTTCTTATTTGTGATTTAGTTGAAATAAATGATGTATATGAAGCGGGGTTGGTAAACTATTGTAAAAAAAATCATAGTACCTCAATACTTACAAGTACTTTGATGTATAAGTAATAACTTTATTCGTTTGTATATTATTGAATAAAAATGAGTGTACAGTTATACAGACATCAAGTACCTACCCATAATAAAAAGTCAGTTAGAAAAATAGATACCAAAAATAACTCATTGACTCAACAGGACAAAGCAAATGTTACCAGATTACACAAATAAGGAAGGAAATCGTACCGTATTTATAGATTATTTTTTGATTCCGATTAGTTACTGAGAAACTATTTTATCTAGATAAACATCTAGGATTCGATGTCGGCAACGGCATGAGTTTCAGACATCAGCTCTAAAAGTCCTTGGAATAATTTTGAGAAACGGCCCGTACAATCAACTGTGGTTACTATTT